CCCCAAATTCCCAAGCCCCCAAATTCCCAAGCCCCCAAATTCCCAAGCGCCCAAACTCCAAAGTCCCCAAATTCCTAAATCTCCAAATTCCAAAATCTCCAAACTCCGACACCCCAAAATACCAAGAACCTCAACATAGCCCGGCCACCCCGTCTCCACCGAAACAGTAAACAAAGTTCGGCAGCATCATTTTCGGCCAGAAATAGGAATTTTCAAAATTACACGGAAGAGATTCATAGAAATTTCCGTATTCGAAATGTCAAGACATTCTGACGTAATGCATCAGCCGAATGCAATATCGTTCGCATATCGCAAATATTTGCCAGCGCTAAAAGATAGCTTCAAAGGTGGATCGCAAAGAGACTACGGCGTGAAAGGAACGCGTTTTGATCAATCCTTTAAAACCCACCGCATATATACGTCCACGAAATATCACCTCGGAGCATTTCATACTTGCACTTCATCTATTCTTTGAATCTTTCAGTAAATATATCCGCGACCGAATTCTTTTGTCTCGTGTGTAAATATCGTTCGCAGAATTTCATATAAAACAGAAATATTCGTTATAAATTCGACTCCATTTTCTCTTTTTAATCGCAACTGATACCTCGGAGTTTTGACGCGTAACATTCATGATTGCGATGGACCATATTTTATCGCCAGCCAAGTATTGTTTGTAGACTGACACTAGAAGAATTAATCTTCCGTGAAAAATGATAAATAGCTGGGAAAAGAAATAAGCGGAAGAATCGTTTCACTGGGGTTTACAAAAGTTTCGTCAGCGGGAGTATAATGAAAAGTTTCGATGGTTTCAGAGGCACAGTATCCACGGCATGATAGAAGAAGAGAATGTGGTGAGACCGCACCAGGAAATGGCCAGTCTGTCCTACAAAGAGAAGAAATACCTTCTCGCTGTGGAGCGCGGGGACGTTGCCTCCGTCAGAAGGTGAGACTTTTAACCTTTTCCAAACCGGAAGATCGTGTTTAACGTGGCGATAAAGATTAAACTAACGGAACCTCCCTTTAGAGAAGATCTTTCCGAATGATTCTCCCACAGTAATCGTGTAATGATACAAACAAAATTTTATTATCGATATGAATGAAAGTTTCTCTCTGATATTAACGCAACGAATACCACGGTTACAATATTCGTTACAAATGCTACATCTTTTATCGAATAAAGCTTTTCAATACAAGGTATTCATTTATCGTTATTATTTTTAACAAGTTGAACATTCGCTTTAATCTCGTTACGCTTGTTTGTAATCTGGTACAAAGGAAAATGAAAAAAAAAACACAAACGTGTATTCACGCGATAAACAATAAAGGATGCCCCAAATAGCTGGCGCAAAAATTGCCACGCATCAAAATGCCAGCCAGAGGTGAATGCGAATTTTCATCAGACGAAAATGAACGAGAAATAACGTGTGTATTGTTTCGATTGCTTTCAACGCGACTGCGCCGGGTATTACAATGGTTAATTTGAAAGCCAAGAACAAGCCGTGCACAGAAGCGACACGATCGTGGCTTTTATGCAAACCTATATTCACGGCCGCGTGGGTTAGAAATCGGCTGGGATTAAAGGGGAATGTGAAATCTCGCGAACAAGGTCGAGAGGCGTAACGGATACGCCACCTTTGCTCTCACAAAGGATCTAATTATCCTGCGAACAATCGTTGCGCGATCCACGACTCTTCCTCGAATTCTTGACGGCGATTTTCATCCCTGCGGTGCAATTAATAGAGGATTTTGCGATGCACAAGACCCTGGAATTCTCATTTGGTCCGTTCAAGTACAAAGGGAAATATTTGAATAATCAGCCCTTAAATCTCCACGGTACAGACACAAAAATCAGAGGAAATTAACCCTTTCGCTACGGTGACTTTTTCTGTGAAATGTGATTATGGTCTTATTTATTATAATAAAAAGTCAGATATTCTTATTTATAAAAAGCAAAGCTAAAGCCTTTCTATACAGTTTATTATCCTTCCTTTATGTACAAAGAATAATACAAATGACAAATGTTATAACACGCCGTCATAACTCTTTTTTATAAAAATTTTTTAATCACTAGGAAAAAACTGTTGGTATAAAAGTGGGCGCCTATAGGTGCTCTCAGTAATACAAACACAAAATTTCTAAGCGCCTATAGGCGCCCACAGTAGCCAAGGGGTTAATTTGTTCGTTCGATATGAAATTTATAAAATTATTATCAGAATAAATAGTTTCGAAAGTGGCACTATATAAAAAAATTTTAGAAATCATTATTTGAAATAGTGGTTATAAATCTCATCGATCGACACGTGTTTGAGCCTAACTGACTCGGAAGGTGAAAAATGTCGATAATGAATTCAAGTCGTTAATCAGTGTCGTACGATGTCCTACAATCTATCAACTCTTTTTTTGCTTCTGACAACAAACTATAAATTAAGGTTTACGACCTATATTAGCATAGAAATAACAGAAAACTGAGGACGAAGCAAATTATCAAAGGTACACGTGGAATGTTACAGGATGCTACAAGGGGCTCACGAAACCGAGATGAACATCAACTGCGTGGATCCGTTGGGACGTTCAGCCCTTCTGATGGCGATCGATAACGAAAACCTCGAAATGGTGGAACTTCTGATCGAGCACAAAGTCGACACGAAGGATGCTCTTCTCCATGCCATCTCCGAGGAATTCGTCGAAGCGGTCGAAGTTCTGTTGGAGCACGAGGAAAGTCTTCATCGAAACGGAGAGCCTCACGTTAGTTCCTTTCATCTTCGAACTGCAATCCATTGAACAGGCTGTTGAGATATCGTTAATCGAAACACTCGTGGCTGATAACAATCGAAGATGAATAACGCGGCTTATAAATGTAAATCCGGTGATCGTTTTTAAGTCAAGGTGAACCTAACCTTCAAACGGAGGAGCTTATAGACCTGAGTTCACTGAGTAGACAAATTATCACACTTCTTTTTTTGTGAATTTGTTCGTTCGATATGAAATTTATAAAATTATTATCAGAATAAATAGTTTCGAAAGTGGCACTATATAAAAAAATTTTAGAAATCATTATTTGAAATAGTGGTTATAAATCTCATCGATCGACACGTGTTTGAGCCTAACTGACTCGGAAGGTGAAAAATGTCGATAATGAATTCAAGTCGTTAATCAGTGTCGTACGATGTCCTACAATCTATCAACTCTTTTTTTGCTTCTGACAACAAACTATAAATTAAGGTTTACGACCTATATTAGCATAGAAATAACAGAAAACTGAGGACGAAGCAAATTATCAAAGGTACACGTGGAATGTTACAGGATGCTACAAGGGGCTCACGAAACCGAGATGAACATCAACTGCGTGGATCCGTTGGGACGTTCAGCCCTTCTGATGGCGATCGATAACGAAAACCTCGAAATGGTGGAACTTCTGATCGAGCACAAAGTCGACACGAAGGATGCTCTTCTCCATGCCATCTCCGAGGAATTCGTCGAAGCGGTCGAAGTTCTGTTGGAGCACGAGGAAAGTCTTCATCGAAACGGAGAGCCTCACGTTAGTTCCTTTCATCTTCGAACTGCAATCCATTGAACAGGCTGTTGAGATATCGTTAATCGAAACACTCGTGGCTGATAACAATCGAAGATGAATAACGCGGCTTATAAATGTAAATCCGGTGATCGTTTTTAAGTCAAGGTGAACCTAACCTTCAAACGGAGGAGCTTATAGACCTGAGTTCACTGAGTAGACAAATTATCACACTTCTTTTTTTGTGAATTATATGCATCGTAAAAAATTAAGTAATAATGATAAGGATTTGCAGGAAGATTAATTTGTAGAATAACGTTTATGGATAATTTTTTTTTCATTTTATTGAGATGTTGTGAGTCACCTGAGTCTCGAGCGACCGGTTAACACCCTGTACAATGGATGTTCCCATCATGTAGACATTTCCTCGAAAGTACGATGACCCTTTGTGAACTTCCCTCCCTTTAGGACACGTTGATTTCAGCGACGAAGTTCGTCTCGCAATTAAACGGTGATTGCATTTTTCCGGGCTTGGTAATCGCGTTTCACTTATCGAAATTCGCTGCAGTCTTCGGCCGAGCGAGAGGACAGTTAAGTAGATTCAGTCAACAAATAGGTCGAGCCACATTTTAATCAGATTTAGCGCCGAGTTTTTCGTTACCGGGACTAACAACGGGCTCCGATGAAAAGCGTCGGATTCCATTCCCGCTCGCTAGTCGAATCGGTTTCGAAGGAAAAAAGCGAGAGGAAAATAAAGACAAGGACGAGGGTTTAATCTGGCTTTTTCTCAAAATCGGCTTACAGTCTCTCGAAATAATTGTAGCGTTTTCAATGTGAATAATTTTCATCACGATTGCGTAAATATTATTCCGACGTAATCCACATCCACTGTTTATGTAAATTCTGAGATACATATTTAATATCTGGATGGCGTAGTCCACGCGTGCAGTTTAAATAAACAATAAATGAATTATTTATCGCTGCGATTACCGCGCTCCTACAGGTGTTAATTCTCTTTCACTTTCCGCCACGTAAAAATGAAACAAAACTGTCGCAAAATAATTGTATCTTCTTCGTTCAGAGCTGGGAAGCCCTGCCGTCGGACACCGCCACTTTCACCCCGGACATCACACCCCTAATCCTGTCGGCTCACAGGGACAATTACGAGATCATTAAGATACTTCTGGATCGTGGATCCACGCTGCCCATGCCTCACGATGTTCGTTGCGGGTAAGTTTAATTTTCCTGACAGAGAGGATCGATGATCGTCGAATTTTTCCGAAACAGGTGCGACGAATGTGTTACGTCCAGGAGGGAGGACTCCCTCAGGCATTCCAGGAGCAGGATAAACGCCTACAGGGCTCTGGCTTCACCGTCCTTGATAGCTCTATCCTCCAAGGACCCCATTTTGACTGCGTTCGAACTCTCGTGGGAACTTCGGAGGCTGTCGTTTTTGGAACACGAGTTTAAGTGCGAATATCAGGTGAGATTGCTACATTCGTTATTTTACGATATTTAGAGATTTTACAATATTTAGTGTTTTATTATTTTACAATATTTTGATAATTTACAAATTATGTACATTGTGTTTGGTGACAAATATTTTTTATCTTTATGGGGTTGATTGAAGATTGCTAGTTTAAGAGCTGTCGAAGAACGTCCAACCCCTTGTACTATAATAAGGTGACGCACTCGTGACACACACAATGTAGTAATTTACATTCGTATTTTTCACTTGAATTTTTTGTTGAATTCTAATTGTGATCCATGTAAGACTCACTGAATAATAAATCTATAATTGTAACTTTCTTCAGTTGTCCAAAAAGTTGTAGGTTAAAAGATTAATATAACTCTACTCTTTCTACTCCATCTCTATATTTTTTCTATACCCTAACTTTGCAATTAAAGTGAAGCGAAACAATATTCAGCGAAGTGGGTCGAGTAAATATCTAATAAAATCGGTGCGAGTCAACATCTGCTAAATTGATACGAACCGATACCCCAATTCCGTGTTTTTTTCCGCGAAAAATATTGCAAATTGAAAACTAAAGTGACGCGTGTCGACATCTGACGTTTCCCGACCCACATATTTTTTCGGCAGATAAACAATTCAAGAGAAATTTTGTCCATTCTTTCCATGATCTGCAAACTTTCTTTGCTGGATGCGGGTTCTGGAATATTTCTTAGGGGTGCACGGACGAAAGAAATAAATGACTGGAATAATATACGATGAAGAGGAAAGCCTATTCCTTTCCGCTTCGAAGGAACACGTGCTACATATTTTGCGAAGGTTTTCTCGAAAACGTCGTTGTAATTTTTCCAGGAAAAAGTACGGAAACAGGGACACGAGGTAAAAATTTCCTTCCGAACCGTGAACGCGGATGACCGGGAGAAGAGGGTCGAAAAAGGGTTAGAAAGAAGGGGAATTCAGAAGTTGGTCGATTGTTTTATGTACTTTTCTCTTCGCGGATACGCAGACACGTTTCTCGGAACGGGATCACATTTCCACCGGTAAATTGAATGTTGACTTCAACTCTCGAGTGTAATTGAGACTTCTGAAAGAACTTCAAAGCAAGGGAAATTAGTTCTCGGTAGATAATCAAGATGACTATTAATGAATCGTTCTACTTACCTGGTATTACGTGCAATTAAACAACCGTGTAAGCCACTGGATAAAGCGCTTTCCCCTTCATTTGTAACTGAGAGACATCTAGTTTCACCAATATTCTCAACATTTCGTTGTTATTACGCTAATTAATTGTTTCGAACTACGTGTTCGACCAAACATTGACTCGCATCACTGTATCGAATCAGTGATTATTTATTTTCATTATTCAGTGAATTTATTTTCCGATTTTCGCAATTTATTTTCAATCCTTCGTGTCATTTCTGTTAGATCAAGAATTCGTTCGCCTAAACATCCAGAGGAGCATCAGAATAATTGTCTGACGGGGAGCCTCGAGCAAATGAAGCGATTAATTTTCTGACACCCTGTAGCTCGGATCCCATGATCCCTTCAATGACGACCGGACGAAAATAAATCATCCTGATAGAAAACTGATTAAGCCTACGGGTGGACCGGCAAACGATTAACGAGAATAGATTACAGGAGACCAAGCATCATCCCCCTGTTCTTTTCGTTCCTTAGAAACTTCCTGGCTCCTTCTTTCGCCGCTTTTTTCCTCGACTCTCAACGACAATCTATCTCAGCCCTTTCAGACTGATATTTCACAAAACGTTTCACGATATCCATGGAAACATATTTATCCGGCTCTTTTATTCGACGAGTGCCTACTTAACGTTGAATACCTCCGATATTTCGTGAAACTTCAGTGACTTCAATAATTGAATTGACGATTGAATACTGGGAATTGAGGTCTATGTTATTCGATAAAGATTATTCGAATTATTTATTAATTATTGAGAAATAGTGTTTGTTTATAAACAATTTATTTTTCTATCCAATAGAAGTTCGTATTTGAAAATATCTTTAAGAGGAAAGATTCTATTTGTCTCCATTGAATTTCATGCGGTAAGCTCGGAAAAAAATTTGATATCTATTTTTGTGCAACGTAAAAAAGTCTCGTAAAATCTTGAAGGGTCATCGTTAAAAGGGGAATAAATCCCTGTCCTTTCGGCGCGTTTCATCGTCTGGAGAATAAAGTTTCCGCAAAATTGCCCGTCACTTTTTCCCTCCCTTGCATCGCGGGAGTGTCGAACGACCCTTGTTCGATTGACAAACGACTCGGATGAAAGAAAACTTTTTTCCTCCGTCAATTCTTTTCCTCCACATTTTTTCCCCCGAAACAATCGACAGGTCTCCGCGACTCTTTTGAAAATGTATGGCGCGGAAAATTCGACATCTCTCGATCGTGCTCGAGGGAAATGGCAACTCGTTGTACCAAAAAGTTTTCAGACACCGTTACCACTCGCGTTTAAGCGAGAAAAGAGAAGGAAGTTTGCTCGTGAAAAGTCAAAATAACGACGTTCTGATTCCAGGAGCTTAGAAGACAGTGCCAGGACTTCGCCACTGCCCTGTTGGATCACACGAGAAGTTCCTACGAGCTGGAGGTACTTTTGAACCACGATCCCACGGGGCCTGCCTTCGAACATGGCGAGAGGATGCACCTGAATCGCTTGAAGTTGGCTATTAAACTTCGACAGAAAAAGGTAAAATACTTTTTCCATTTTTAAACCAAATCGTTTCCGATTCTTACGCAGCTTGCCTCGGGCCTCCTAAATATTACTTTCCATTTAAAACTTCGCGAAAATAAGTCGATGCACTGTCCAGAATCCAACTTTAACTCGCTAAGAGCTGAAACGTTCATAATTGGATTTCAAGTTCGGAGGCTGTTCGGTATTTTTATCTACTTGTTACCGAGACAAAACTCGTCGCTTAGGAAACTAATTTGGGGTTCTTCAAACTTAAAATTGCACACCTTTCACTACGAAATCCATCCTTATATTTAACTTGAACTTTCAACTTGAATTTACACTTAATTAAACTGCAGTTGATACTTGTAACATAGGTACATATTTAAACCTACAGACTTAAATTTGACGAACATGATCTTTGTTATCGAATCTTTTCTATATTTTTCTCCCTGGTCAAGTTCCCAAGTGCATGATACAAAGTGACTTAATTAAGCTGCACTTGATACTTGTAACATAGGTACGTATTTAATCCTACAGACTTAAATTTGACGAACATGATCTTTGTTATCGAATCTTTTCTATATTTTTCTCCCTGGTCAAGTTCCCGAGTGCATGATACAAAGTGAATTAACAAGACATTCCAAAACAAACAAAATCAGACCCAAGTTTTCGAAAGTTTTTAAGGTTAACGAAATAGCTATCGGAAAGATATTTAAACCTGCAGACTTAAATTTGACGAACATGATCTTTGTTATCGAATCTTTTCTATATTTTTCTCCCTGGTCAAGTTCCCGAGTGCATGATACAAAGTGAATTAACAAGACATTCCAAAACAAACAAAATCAGACCCAAGTTTTCGAAAGTTTTTAAGGTTAACGAAATAGCTATCGGAAAGATCAAATCGAACGGAAGCTTTCAGAAAGCAGACAAGTTTCGATGTAACGTCGTTAAGGGAGAAGGATCATCCACGAGTCGTAACTCCGAAATTAGACCGTAATAAGTAGAATTTCTCAGCTATATGGCCGGAAACTGTCGACCAATATTAGATTACCGGAATTTCCAGTTCGTGGCGCATCCTAACGTACAGCAGCTACTGGCATCGATTTGGTACGAGGGTCTTCCAGGCTTCCGCAGGAAAAACATGGTCCTCCAAGCGTTGGAAATCGTGCGGATCGGTGTGCTCTTCCCATTCTTCAGCGTCGCTTACATCATCGCCCCGCACAGCGTCGTTGGACAGACCATGAGGAAACCATTCATCAAGTTCATCTGTCACTCGGCATCGTACTTTACTTTCCTCTGTGAGTATCCTTGATCGCTTCCTACAGAGCCGTTTCTCTAACACGTTCCTCGGCATTAACCGTAAAATCGCTTCGATTCGGAACCTAAATCGTTCTTTAAATCTCCATCACACGGAATTTAGAGGAACAGAGATTGGAACGATAATTACTAGTTCTCGAAACGACAGTGGGGATTGGATTTGCAGAAAAGTGTTTGCGGTAAAGATTTTTATTCGAGAGCTTGTCAAATCGGTTTAACCTCGTTCCGGCGTATTTTACCTTTAGGCACGTCGTGGAATCAAACATCGGTCTAAACAGTTTACAAATACTCTCCCGCGGTAACGTGGCTCGCGAATACCTCTCACTACCAATAATAGCAGCGCGGTAATGCTCTAAATTTGAGACATCAACCGCGATCGCCGAGAAACGATAAACATTCCGAGCCAGTTTCCCTTCCGTCGTATTATACGGAATTCCTTCACGTCAAATCGTTTCTCCCTCATTTGTCTACTTCTTGCACCTCGGGAGAAAAATCTTCGAGCTCGATATGACTGTAAGAACAGATGTAACCCTTCAGTGCCGTCAACGATGGCAAGTATAATAAATATCACTTGTTCCATTTATACATGGACACTGATACGATTTTAACATTCATACATTCAAGATGTAACCACTATTTGAAATGAGAAACTTCAAGTCGAAAGCCGAGATTAAAACCGTTTTTCTTGCAACCTCTGTTCTTGATATGTTTTTCACGTTATTCCGAGGGAAACTGGTACGGTAGAAACTTACGTAGAAATTCGCTGCAACAAAAGGGTTAAGAAGTACGTACTCTCAAAGGATCAGGTGAATAGGGAGCTCGCGGTGCTCGACAGCCTCGAAGAGCGTAATTGACCTCGAAGTTAGACTAACGATATTTTGAGTCGCGAGAAACGTGGCGGAGTAACGTTCTCGAGGATGCGACCGAGACCCAGGAATTTCGGGAGATTGTTCGGGTACAAGCCAAGTTAATCCAGACGGCTGTACAATGCGGTCACCTTCCCCTGATTATTCAGAGGATAACGCTTTCCCGCCTTGTTCGTCAAAATCAATTCCAACAGAAACCCCGAGATTACCCGTCGCAAATCTCTCCAATTGGCCACTTACTAATTCTCATTAGAACGGAATCCTCCGTAAGCTAATCGCTTCCGATGCGAAAGGTTTGATGCCCTGCAAACGTTGCAACGCCGCGTATTAATAGATCTCAAACGATTCAAGTGTTCTAAACTCGACGTAACTTGCAACAATGCTGCAAAGTGACCCAGACGGCGTCTAAACTTTATAACAATGTCGCAATGAGCTCCAGTTCATTCAGACACTCCAGCCTTGTAACATCGACAGTGTTACATTGAATTTCTCCAATTCACCATATTTCAGATTTTCAATATAACCTAACCGTTAGATTGTTAACAATAGAGAAGGCTTACATCCTCTAACGCTATTAAACAGTTAAACCTTTGAGATTTAACGCGAACTTTTTAAATTGCCAACAATGTTGCAAACTTTCCAAGTAATCTCCGGTGTACCATTCGATTAAAATCATATTTAAACTTTCCAACAGCGTTGTAAACGATTTCTGCCAGGAGTCATCTTGTGCGACAATGTTACGATTTAATTTTAATTCGAAGATATGGACGCGTGTTTCGCGTGTCGCAATATTTGGTAGCGTTTCAAAGCGCTGTTTGTTTTTTCGAAGATTGTGCAGCTCGTTCGAGAAAGCAAACAGTTTCACAGGAAAGTAATCGTCTGCAATTGCTGTTACAAAACCTGACGCAGTTACGTGTTTGTCCACAGTCATGTTGATTCTGGCTAGTCAAAGGATAGAAAGCGTGATTGGCAATTGGATGGGTCACGACGTGGTGGAACACGAGCCAACGCCGACGAAGAGGGGTGCTGCACCGTCCATCGTCGAGTGGTAATTTTTTATCAATCATTTTCAATTATATTAATCGACTGTATGAGAAAATATTTTCCAACCTTTCAAATTTCTCTGGAGAACTTCGAAGGATCTAAGTAAATAAGAACGCGAAAGAAACCCGTAGCTCTCCTGTTCCTCGAAACGATTTCATTTCGAGCTCGAGCGGAAATACGAATTTATCTTTTTCGTTTGTATCGTCATGGGATCTCCAGGAAAATCGGAGTCAAAATACGAATCTACCTTGTAGGTTCATCCTGGCCTGGGTGTCCGGTTTGATTTGGTCCGAGGTAAAACAACTGTGGGACGTCGGCCTCGAAGAATACGTGAACGACATGTGGAACGTGATCGATTTCGTTACCAATTCCTTGTACGTGGCGACCGTCGCGTTAAGGGTGGTCGCCTATTACAGGGTACAAAAAGAAATAGAGAGCCAAAAACCGGGATCCGTGATCGGATTGCAACGCGAACAGTGGGACACGTGGGACCCGATGCTCATTTCAGAAGGTCTTTTCTCCGCGGCCAACATATTCAGGTCAGATTATTAAATTGTACTTATCGGCAAATACCCTTTGAAACTTGTTTAACGTGTCTTATGCAACGATTACCTGAAAGAATTCGACGCCTTAATTTTTTATCTTGCGATATTACAACGCGAAAACGATGTATCTTAAATATTATTCGCGCAGATAATTCTGCAGTCGGTGAAATTTCATAGGTTCACCAGGGAGAGTAATTAAAAAATCTCCTTTGAACCGTGCTTTGCGCATTACGCTGTAAATTCCTGGTGGACGTAATTAGTAACCCCTCATACAGCGCGGGTTTAACTTTACTCGTAGTCCCATTTATAATTTCACGCCTTTCGGTTACTCGTGCAATTGAAAGTAACCGGAGATTTCGTGTTCTTTCAGCTCTTTGAAACTCGTCTACATTTTCTCCGTAAATCCTCACCTCGGCCCCCTGCAAGTCTCTTTGTCCCGGATGGTCATGGACATTATGAAATTCTTCTTCCTCTACGTGTTGGTGCTGTTCGCATTCTCCTGTGGTAAATAGACCTTTGGAAAGTAATACTTTTTTCCTAAAAGCTTCAATCGAAAACTGGATACGAAATAATTTCACCCAGTTTCGCAACGTAATTTTTATTAAAAATGCAATATTTTCTCTAACGATCTGTTATTAAAAATTTCGTAATACTCTGCTTCGTAATAAAATTTTTCCGTCGCGAGATAATATTCTGCGACAAAACTGTTACAGGTCTGAACCAGCTGCTTTGGTACTACGCCGACATGGAGAAGAAGCGTTGTCCCACCGCGATGTCTTATTCCCCTAACGCTAGTGTTACGACCGACTCGAATGCCTGCATCGTTTGGCGACGGTTCGCAAAGTATGTGTTATTTTCCTTCTATCGTGGCGGTGCTTTTACTCTCGATGTCTATGACTTTTAATCCAACAGTCTGTTCGAGACTGCTCAGACGTTGTTCTGGGCCGTGTTCGGATTAGTCGACCTGGAGAGCTTCGAGCTGGACGGTATCAAAGCTTTCACGAGATTCTGGGGTATGCTGATGTTCGGGACGTACTCGGTCATCAACATCGTGGTGCTGTTGAATCTATTAATCGCCATGATGAACCATTCCTATCAATTGATCTCCGTGAGTGTACACAAATTTCCATCCATTAACCTTGATATACCAGACAGATGTAACGTTTAACTAACCATACACGAATATGACCGTGATGTACTAATGAAATAATTTGTATCTTTTTGCTATCGCTTTAATTTTCAAATTAGAGACATGGAGTTACTCTGACAAAATTTGAGAATTTTCATTTCAAATGATACTCCACATCTACGCAGTAGTAACTAACTCTAGCATAGCTCGCGAATTATTAATATCCAAAGGTAATCCGGTAACGTTGATTGTTTAATTCCAATCAGGAACGTGCCGACATCGAATGGAAATTCGCCAGGAGCAAGCTTTGGATCAGCTATTTCGAAGAAGGCGGAACGGTTCCACCCCCTTTCAACATTATCCCCACCCCGAAGAGCGCGTGGTACATTGGCCAGTGGTTGTACCGGAAACTGTGCGGTCACAGCAGAGCTGCTAAGAAAGAGCACATGCGGACGATCAGAGTGAGATTAATTCCGGTTTAATTGCAGCGCTATCGATTGCGGGAAATATCAGAAGAATTATACCCGTGTTGTCCCAACGGTGAATTCGTTAAATCATTGTTAGTTCTAGAAAGGTAGAACTCGCTGCAGTTGCCAACTGCAGCTGCATGGCATGCAGCCAACACTCGGATCCCGTATTTTTAAGACCTTCCATGTTCTTTGAATCCTAGATTTCTTATAAATTTATTGCCCGTACTCGAGAGATGAAAACAAATCTCAAGGTTACATTCGACTGAATATCTTGCGAATTTTCCTTTAATCCACGTTCGCAGTCAAAACTGCCCTAAATTTTTCCCAATGGTTTCGTCGATCAAAGGACTCGTATTTGCTCCTCGGATCGATTTTTATTGAATCAAAAAAATGTGTCGGTGTTTTGCAGAGGAAGGTTAAGCAGGCGTCGGAGAGGGATTTCCGGTACCAAAGCATCATGAGAAATCTGGTGCGAAGGTACGTGACGGTGGAGCAGAGGAAGGCTGAAAGCGAGGGTGTCACCGAGGACGACGTGAACGAGATAAAACAAGACATCAGCGCTTTTCGGTGCGAGTTGATCGAGATCCTGAAGAACTCCGGCATGAACACCTCGACAGCAAGCGGTGCCGGAACCGGTGAGCCCATCAGCACGACCGACACGATTTCGCTGATGCAAATTATTTCCGTAGAAAGATTTTTACTTTCCCCTGCACAGAACCGGGCAAGTTGTGTCGCGAGTTCTTTAAGCGAGAAAACTTTGTAGCCCCGACGTGACAAGAATATGACGTTAAGAAGGGGATCACAAGTTTCAACGCTCGTAGACGAAAGTTCCGAAGTTCGTTACCGAGAACGCTATTAATCATCCGGTGAACTACGTCGGACTAATTAATGCGATTAAGCATCGTCCGCCGCGAATATTGCATCTCGTGGTTGAAAGCTATTCAGCTCTCGACTAAGAAAACCACCGAATTTCGCGATCGGTAACACGACTTGCCTGTTACGTCCTCCATTACCTGCACAGTTTCGCGAAAGCTTTTCGTCGAAGTTTCTTTCTGTTTTTTAGTAGTCGCTTTAGCGTAGTCCTTGGTTTTCTGTTTGCCCCATAGACGGTTACCTTAAAGAGCTGTCCATAGGTGCGGGGGGCAAGAAGAACCGTCAGAAGGAGCGGCGATTAATGAAAGGATTCAATATCGCCCCTCAGCCGAGCGGAAGTGGCACTTTGCCACCGGTTGATGAGTTTACAGCGTCGCTTCAACAGGCACAGCACGAGAACTCTCACGAGCTCTTTGGCTCCACTTTGAGCGGCATATTTGGTCCTGGTGCCACTCCCAAGAAAAGTCCCCATCACATTAGCACCAATAGTATGCCCGGACTCGGTTCCGGCAGACAGAGCCGCAGGATCAGAAGTAGCTCCAAAAAGAAACGCTGGGAAAATCTTATCGAGGCGGCCAAAGTTCGAGGTAGAGTCTCCAAGCTAATTGGTAAGTTGGAGTTTCAATCACTAATTATACCACCTTCGAGTTTCGAAACAAAATTTTCTTATCGACTGCTCTAAGACTGTTACAATCGTTTTAAAATACATTCCAAGCAGACCATAATACTTTGAACATTATAAAACCACCGAAACATAAAAGTACATATAATCCGAAGCTCAGAGCAGTAGCTTATGATACAGAGATAAGGACCTCGCAAAGAAATATTTCACAGTTAATTACCTAGCTTACACGAGACGTAATGTGCATTTCTAAGTAGTACTTTAATAGACATTGCTTTTTAATAGTTTAATTTGCGTCCAGTTAACCCAGATTCGCAACTTCCCTCTCAGGTAGATCTCATTCAGAAGACTCCGTGTACTCGCCCGCGTCCGAAGACGGCGGATCCAGATCGGAAGGATCCACGGACTCGAAGTCCTCCCTGGAGCCTCCCGGTCACGAAGTCCAGACCCACCACATACATCACAGTCATCATTCGCATCATCACGAGGGACATCACATGTTCGCTCACGGTCTAGGCGCGTTAGCAGCCCTGCGGAAGAAACGTAAAACGTTCTCGGACTCCAGATCCTCGACGCCGGGCACGAGGAGCAGCAGCGGCACGAACCCGATACACCCGATCGCCTCGGTTCTTATATCGAAGGTGTCGAAGAAGCAACAGTTGCAGAGAGCCAGCAGCGTTCCAGCCAGGGGACCGGAAGTTAGTCAACAACCGATTCCGCCGAGACGACACGAAGCCACGCAGAGTCAGCAACCTAGCATCGACACTCCCGAAGGAGCCAGTGCTAGCGAGCAACCTGGTAAGTCTTTCTTTGCGTAAATACGTTGTCGGAAGTTTAACCTGGATTTTATTTATCGAATATTTTGGTGCTGGTTACATGAAACATCGAGTTAAAGAATACACGTGTTTAATCCTCTCGTGCATAGAGATAGTTCACACGCTTAATCCTTATAAACGTACCTTTTATTCATGATGTTCAAGAATGTAACCTAGTTAGGAACATTCGCCGCACGAATATGATAGCTAAGTATGAAACGGAAGGAAGTTGGTGCACGAGAAGGTTAAAAATAACCGGCGTAAAATTGATCAAGTTAAACTCGTATATCTCGAATTTACCTGAAGTATGATTTCCAAGTACCGCAATAAATGTCCATTCGCGAGAGCAGTTAACGAGTCCCTGAAAATCTAGCTAAAAGCACTCGTATCAAGGTCAGGATAAACACGAAAATTCTAGCGGCAGCTGGAAAGTTTGGTTTATTTATGTTGAATAGTCGTTCCTGCCGTTCCTCTGACCCCGTCGACGACGGAGGAGAGCGTGATAGCCAGCAGTTCTCTGCCGGCGACCATGAAGAGAAACGGCTCAGCCACGCAGCTGCAGCGATTGCCGGGCATCGAGCCGATATCCGGTCACGACGTTTCCGGTGGATGGCTCTGAGAGGATCCGTCGGTCGCCACGTTGCGACGCGTCAGTTAACGAAAAGGAAGGAACTCGATCGTCCATGAGTTTCGTTCCGATCAGCCGAATAAGGCTGGGACGACGACTTCGATCGATGTTGGGATCACGATAGATCGCGTCGTCGTCGGCACACGCACAATGATGCCTTCTCGTCACGACGCCGAGACTATATCGTTTTTAAGAAGCGTTTAATCACGAACAACGCTCGTCGACTCATCCTGGCCCTGTTCCCTTCATCAAAACGGAGAGAAAGAGAGGAGAGAGTGTAAATATTGATGCGAAGTGTTATCGCTCTAACGCGCGAAACTTCCTTATTTCAGGGGAGATTAACTTTTAGAGGTTCACGGAAAGCAACTCGGATCATTTTTGGACCTCCTTCGGCTTCTTCCGCTAATCCAACCGTGTCGGGAAGTTTCTGAACAAACTTCCACGAACGCTCCATGAAGGACTTGAACGAAAACATGAAATATGGAGTAATATACGTTTGGAGCTGTCCTTTATCGATTTATTTATCGACGGTATTTTATTGCGAGTCCACGAAGTTAATCTCTCCCCAAAGCGTCGTCCATAAGCGGAGGTTTCTTGTCGATAATTTTGTACCGTGCGTAGATCGTAATGGATGAGAACGTTTTCACATCGATCGTAGGTAAAGTGGGCCGGTTTCCATCGTTCGTAAACGATCTTCGTGGAAACGGTTTGATCCGTTACGTACAATCCCACGACCCATTAATAACTACTTATTTACTACTACTGCTCTACTACTGCCAGAACGGAAGAGGGCAAGTGGGTCGACGGTAACTAGTCTAGTCAAAACTAGTCGGACGATCCGGTGCGAAAGAAGGACACGATTTTAGCTATGTTAATCTGTAAGAGACAATTTAATTGTGTTATTGGTGAAACAAGCAGAAGGATCGTCATTTCGGGCGACCAACAATTTAACCGCTTCAGGAAGCTGGTCTCCTTGAAGATCGGAACTTATTCGTTTTTCTAGTTAACTAGTTTTGTCTCTTTTGATTTGTCTCTGTTTAGTGATGGATATTCGAAATATTGCATGTCTTTGTTCGAATCGCTTCGGGTTTTATTCGAGCTCTTGATCGCAATATCGCAAATTGGATCGTGGTTTCTGAGCGAGTTGACAATGTACGTCTGACGGGAAGCGCCGGATCAAAGGGGTTAATTGCAATTGAAAATTTGCATATCACATGCTCCTCCTTTCTGCGATTATATCGAGGGCTTCAAAACTTCGAATACTATTCAAAGCGACTCGAAACTTTCTTCGTGTATTTGCATTCGAATTGTTTCATCGCTACCCATACTTTTTGTACGCTTTTTTGTATCTCGATGTTAAACGAACTCTAGTCAGACTATTTTATTTTTTTTTTTTTTTTGAGACAATCTATGTACGCGATTCAAAGTGTCAGAGAGTTTCTTGCGAGTTTTTAGCAGAATTTCGTTCTAGTCAAAAGCGGATTTTGTACATTTCTTTTCTCTTCGATAGTCATTCGAAACAGGGAGAAACGAGATAAACGTATCACGACCAAAACAGAACGAGCCGTAGCGTAGTCGTGTAGAGGCCTAAAGAAGAGATTAAGATCCGTACTACTTCCTAGATATTACATGTACGTATGATAATAACTATTATTAATGTTACGCGCCGTCAGGGGCGCGAAACAACGCGCTGAGGAGGAGGTGTGCGAACAGTGAAAGAATTTTCATCGTCATCCTCCGAGCAACAACGACCACTTCCTTTTCCGCTAGTCCTCGTCGTGATCGCGTACCTGACACACGTCGCGCGCATAGTAACCATACCGCCTACGTGTATTATTTATGAGATTATTAATTGTAAATGTAAAGTTTAGATGTCCACTTGGCAAGAAAAGTCGTAGTGAATGTTATATTGTGAGAACGGTTACTATATATGATATTGTTGTAAGAAGAAACGGAACTATCAACGATAAAAGCGGAGCGGAACCAACAAAAAAAATTTTATTAATTGAAACAATAGACGAGTAAACGGGAATACCTTGATTACGAGTAATAGTCGTACGAATTTAGCGAAGTTTTTTAACGATCGAATTTCAAATATCGTTTCCGACAAAGCAACATCAATCGCACGAGAGTTTCCGGGTATTTTGTAGCGAACGAGGTCCATCGGGGACTGGAACAGAGAGATTGTGCTGGTACAGGGATCTCGAGATTCAGTATTTTGCGGTTAGTATTATTGTTTAACGATTCGTGAATTCGTTGGCGCTTCGAGCGGAGAGCTTGTCGAAGTTTGACGAAGCTGTTTGTTGCAGACGAAATAGTTGATTTATACCCGTAATTTAAGAATCAAAATGTGCTTCGACGTGTCCGCCTCTTTCGAAACGATCAATTATTTGTACGGTTCGCTTTGAAGAAAATTTCAGCCGAAGCATAAGTTTCCCCGTGGCCATTATTTCGTTTGCGTTCATCAGCAACAAACGAGAAACAAAATTGTAATACGCGATAGATTTTAAACTGTTCGATTTTAATATTCGTTTGAGATCATAGCTGGTCGAGTGGTGACTCGATCGAGAGTAGAAAGATCACGAATGACCATCAATAAAATACCATTTATTCTGATACATCGGTTTATTTCGTACCCGTCAACACAAACGTCCAAGGACTTTTCATTTCATTTCATTTCATTTCACAAAAATAATACACAAACACGACTGTATTCAGTTTCACAGAATTACGAATGAATCAAGGACTTATTCGCAGGGCGCGAGCTGACATCTGGAGCGTCGTTGAAGCTTCTTGGGACAGGGATGCCCTCCATTCTGTGCGTCTTGCTATATATTCAACATCGAACGTCGTTAAGAAAAGCATACATCTTAAGTGTAATATCGATAACTTACTTTAATGGTTCGGTAGCTGGAAACTCGGCCGGTGCCACAGGTGACGCTGCACGGGGTCCAGGGTGACCAATTACTCACGATGCAATCGACAGGTGCAAAAGATTGCGATATCGATGGTTGTTGAGGAACTGTGGCGTTCAAGGGCTCTCCGCTGAGAATTGCTCGCACCTGAGAATCCATTAAATTTTATTCCAATAACATTATTTATTTTTCAGAAGCCTACATGAAGAGAATCTACAGAATAAGATTCCTTGAGACCACCATTTTAATCCAGTAATTAGACAATACTTTATGTAACAAAGAATGACTTGCATCCCCTTTATATAATATAAATGTAATAATTTTGCTTACAATGCCGCAGGTGTTGTTGCACTCCTCAGCTGTCAAGAAGTTATTCCTGTTACCACGACAGCCACCATAACCGAAGGGTACGCACATCAGCTTCTGAGGAACGAACGCCCACCTCTGAAAGTATCCTCTGCAAGGTCCAGGGTCTGCTTCCTCCATGCAAACCACTACACGACGAAATGAAGATTACCAGATCACAGTAAAGTTACTCGAAGTATTACCTTTAGCGGTGGCCATGTCGAACGTGCAATCAGCTTGCACCAAACACGGTCGTTGCTGAAGCAGCTCCATTTTCGAGGAGCATTCCTGTTGCTGCGCTGGATCCACCATCAACAATCTGGTCCTCAACTTCACTCCCTTTCCGCAGGATGCGCTGCACGGAGACCAATCAGACCAATCAGTTACCTTGAACACGTACAAGTGTTTACAAGCTTACAAATAAAACTTTGCACTTGAATTATTCATCTCCGGTACTCGATATCCAGTCTAATAGAACCAGAGAGTATTAAATTTCGAGAACCTGGGCAGAAAACGTAAATTAATATACCTTGCACGTAGGATCGATCTGCTCCTCCAAGCCAGGTGGACAAGGTGGCTCCATGCATTTTTGTCTCTCGACGAGGGAGACGTGAGGACACCGCTTACGACCCATACGATCGTTGAACTTCCTCGTTCTTATCTTCATTCCTATACCGCAAGATGACGAGCACTCGGACCACTCGCTCCACTCCGTGGTTCTGCAAACGGCGTCGTTCACGGGGAACAAACCACCGTCGTCTGCCTCCTCTTCTCCTCTGAAATTTTGTACGCTTCATATGACGAAGACATTGCAAGATAATTGTTCACTTACGGACACTCCGGGACGGACGCAACACACATCTCCTTCGAAACTAGTTGTCTGTTGCATTTGAACATCGCTGCTTTCTCTGGCATCAGATAGGATCTGGTGCGCATTCTTAGTCCTTTGCCACAGGACACAGAACAACTGGACCAACCCGTGTACTCCGTCGTCTGACATTCCGCTGCGATTAAATAAAGGCTGAGTTAGATCCTGCAAATCTAGCTGAGACCAACCTGGTTTATGGGCAATTAATCAAAGACTGACTGAAGGTTAGAAGCTCGAAGTTAAAGCTAACTCGACGCAACCTCAAAGCTAATTTCAACCAAAGAATCGATAAGAAGAGTTTCGTACGTCTGACAGTGTCCTCGGTGTTCTCAGCAACTTCGAGCTGAGTGAGTTGTTGTTGAAGAGTCTGCTCGTCGCAGCTCTTGGGAATTATCTTCTCTCTGTTCAAGTACAACCTGGCCAGCGGTAACATGGGTCTTCCAGTGGGGTCGTAAAAGGGCGATCTTGGATCTTCGGGGTACAGCGTCGTGATAGGCTTCATCTTTTCGCGTGGTTTCGTTTCGGAATTAGGTGACATGTAAGAAATTCCATTATCCGTTCCAGCATCCCACGGATACAGGTCAATGATCTCGCTTTTTGTCCAGGTGCAATCTTTCCTGCAGAGGTTCAATTTGCTCACACCGACCACCCAGTCGGGCGAAGGGCCCAGCATAGAAGCCACGGATACCATAGGGTGCTTTTTGTCCACTCTGAAAGGAAAGACTCGTACATTTACTGTTCCAGACGGAAGAACAAAATGATGTACCTGAAGCTGGTGGTTGTGTTGGTGTTCACGTTAGGGTACCAAAGGCCGGCGGCCTTGATGAGTGTTCTCAATTGATTCGAGCTAGCCCTGAGCTCGGCTTCCACCCCGGATGCTGAGCCCCACTCGGCCAATTGCCGAAAACCGTCGGTGGCGATGTGGTCTTTGCCCCAGAAGGAGAAACTGGGCACGTGGGATGCACCGATCACGTCGCTGAAGTGGGTCAACCAGACGGAGAACGGGAAGTCCTTCGGGTGGGTCACATTCGACCAGATTCCCTCCATTATCAGCTGGAACATGTTCGATGAAAAAATTATTGGTACGACTCCAGAGATTTCGAACGCGAATTCAAGAAAACGACCATAATTTATTACTATCACAAGTACGTGCATCAGTTATAAAGTACTAAATCATGAAGTATAACACCGGTACCGTATGTTCGTTGTTACAAGCTGAATGACATAAACGAAGTAAGACACGTGTACACGCAAAGTGGCTTTTTCAAAACATCCTGTCAGCTCACCGAGTATTTAGCTTCATCGCAGGCGCAACACTTTTCGACGTCGAGTGTTTCAACCTCGGCAGCACCCATCTCGCAGAAGGTCTTAGTTAAAGCACCATCCTCGGCGTACCATCGCACGTTATTCTCCAAAACCATGGCCGTAAAGATAACGCATCCAGATCCCGTCGGTGGTGCCCTCCACATCACTTGGATCTACGCCAAGGTAAGAAAGCGTTTTAGTATCTCGTTGTGGAAATTCGCGGCTTCTGGCCACGAATCGAGCAGCCGAAGCTTGGCTGTAGGCCAACAGCGGGAAATTTATCTGCGATTCTTACATTTCCTCGCTTATCTACTCGCGTGCTCGATACACTGGGATAGAAGCGTTAAAAAAGGAGTAGGTGGTACTGTAGACACCGTTGCTGCGAGTGGGAGTTGTATGTTGCTTCGGATGTGATGTAGTGATTACACATGCGATGACACGTCTGGGTGATAGGTTTTACCACTCACCTCTGTCTTTGGATAATCAGAAGCTTCCGATATGGTGTTCACACAATCTTCGTTAAAGGTTGTCAGAGAATCCGGGAACAATTGAAAGTACCCAACACGAGCAGCTAAATTGTTAGGCGCGTGCTGAGAACTCACCGAAAGCGTGAAACGAGTGAATTGTTGTAGCCTCTCGTGCGTCCGAGACCCTGAAATCGGCGAAGATCAACTACAGATTTATGTACGAGAAATTTATGTAATATGGTAAATATCATTACCTTGCAAGCTGATGGTGTAAATTGCATTTGGAACATATTTATCGGCTTTTCCACTAACGAGAATCCGGTAACCACCATCGCCCGAAGTTCTCGGAGCGGAACTTTGTTCCGCGGTCGGTCGCATGGGACATCCTGCCTGAGCCGCGATCACCAAACATGCTGTCACAGTCAGGAACAACATGGTGTGATCTGAAATGATCGAGCCGCTTGAAATTAGTTGCATCAAACTCTGTACCCAGTAATTAGTGACTTGGTTCCCTCAAATTTGAAATTTCACCCCTTTGAAGTGGTAATTTCCGATAATTCTGACAACGTAATTTAACTTCACGGTTAAAATCGCGTTGAACATTTACTTGTAGCCCGGTTCAATGAAAAATGAAAGGAAGTCTCCCTTTCTGGCAAAGGCATATCTTTCCAGCGCAATTATTCCGTACAATAGTCGCTCTTCAATCATCTCCATCATGATCGGTCTGAAGAAGACAGATAGCGAATCAACGCTAATTTATCACCGACGACTCTTACCAGCTCTCACGCAATCGACAATCGTAACGCGTTTCTTCTCGTAGATAAAACGCAATCTCCAGGTACGCGAACAATGCAAACGGATTTGGCTCGGAGAGGAATATTACAGAAAGACTCGTGTCAAACTTGTTACAAAGATTACAAAAGGAGAACGCACGCTCTCCGGGTACCCTAACATCAGCGAAACGTATGAATTGATCCACGTGTTCTAAAAACATTGGCGTAGCTAGGACATATTTATGAGGACCTAATAAGGATAGAAGATCTTGTCATTTGTGTAAACTAGTGGGTCAGGAAGTAGATAATTAGTTGGATATTCAAATTTTTCTAAAATATCCCTATTTTCCGAATTCTCAAATCTTCAAACTCAGAATTGTTCCTCGAGTTCTCACTTTCTCAAGTTCCCAAGTTTTCTCCTACATTGGCATCCTTAGGAAAGTGAACCGATCTCCCTGTGCACGTATTGCAATAACTTTCCACGAAATGCGGTTCAGTCATTTCGGGTGATCCAGCTTACGCCAATGCTGGGAAGATCGAAATCGGCGAGTACAATGAACACGTACAGCTGGCTAATGATCCAGCAGAGAACTAGAGATGCATCGAATTACGCGCGAGCGTGCCTCGGAAGTGGGTCGGGAGATTCGAACCGGCTCTCGAGATCGTCGCTCTCGGCATGTAGGTGTAGGTTTCTAGAACGATGGACTCGTGACGAATCGGTGAAACAAGGACGACAGTATTTAGGCGAGCAAATCGCCGGAAACGATGGCGAGTCCAAACCGAGTTTCCGCCATGGGACGCCAATCGCACAGATACCGAACAATTTAGGGGTGTCTTGCGATAATGCTTCGGTTCGAAAGTGAAAGCTTAGGAGAAATGATAAAACGACGATGATAAACTTTCCATGCTAGTTGAACGACAGTTGCGCGTATCGCCTTATGACGTGCTAGCGTTAATTGGTACAAAAGTGTATCGCGATAAGCTGGGTATTTAGTATTCCGTGACCTTATTTTCCTCTATTGTCTGTGGAAGATTTGTATGAAAAATGTGGGAACTTCTACGTTAAAACGCAATGACACACCTGTTGCGTCTTATAATAAGTATGTAGTTCTATCAATGACACTTTGAATATATTATACTGTGTGTAGATAATCAATGACGCATCTAATGTGTCATATTCTGTATATAGTCAATGACGCACCTGGTGTGTCATATGTATATAATCAATGCATGACACACTTGGTGCGTCTTATACTACGTTATGATGTGTCATGTGTATATAATCAATGCATGACACACCTGGTGCGTCTTATGCTATATACATGGTGGCTTCATCGACGCAACTGGTGTGACATATTTTATACATTCAAGAAATAATAGACAGCACATTTTGCACGTCTTATAAAGATACTGAAATTATTTATCAATGCTAAGTTGTATAAATACGATAGATTGAATTTAATATTTTTAAAAAATTCTGAATAGTTTACCCACGTTATAAGCGATGACACACCGTGATAAGACATACCCACAAAATTTGTTCCAACGTTAAGATGTCTCGATTTACATATTTTAATCAGTCGATTTCACAAAGTTTAACTTTCGCCGTTTCTCCGCGTACGATGGGAATTAATCTTAAATCTGGCGGCGGAGATCGATGTAGAATTTCACGAGCCGAACGAAAACGATTCACGTTTAACGACGCAGAGTTCATTTTCACCGTCGGGTTTCACGCCCCTGACTGACTTCACGCGTGACTCACGGCGATCGCTAATTGTTTGCAATCAGAAGTAATGACCGTTCCGTCGCTCGGTTAAACATTACGCGAAATAACGAGGTGCAGTAAAAAGTTATGAAAAGTTACAAAAAGCGTTCATGTTGACGCATCGATTGTTAGAATTATTTCACAATTGTTTTCGTTTCGTATCACTATGACGATGCAAATAGTGACCGAATAAAGATAAGAAATTGACTGGAGGATATTTTTAACGGAACTAACATTGTGAAACTTGTATCTGGTCATAAAACTTATATTACGTTCGTTTATATTTTAATGGGTCTCAGAAGGAAGTACCGTTTTATAAATGACTACAGCCCCTTATGATAAATGTTTCATCTGTACCCTCTTCTTTGGATGCCGTATTTGAATTTATGGTTTCGCTGAAATTACACCGATTCCAATCGCACAAACAACTTTGTCACGCACTTAACTCGTGAAAACCTATACTCGACACTTTTCGATCGATAAAACACAGTACGACGTGATGAATTACCACGCTCAAAGTGTCGGGCGAAACGGGATGCAGCTTCTTTTATGAGGCTCTCGCCCTTTCACGCGCGCTCGCGATTCAACCGCTTCGGGGTGTTTCGCTTACGGCCAAATTCGAAGTGGTTCACATTTCACCGATTACTTAACGACGCTCGCATAAAAATCGCTAGATACGCTTCGTAACGCTAACTATGCAGTTTCGTAAGCGGTTCGCCGATGTTTTCACCCCAAAGATTAAATTAAATTACAAATCAGCGTTCAAGGAACTGAAGATTTTAGAAAAGAAATCAGCTCGTGTATGAACAAAGAATTTCCATCGTACATGATATATTTACCCCGTAATTAGAACTTAATCACGCGATAAGAGAATAACGATTCACCACCCTAATGACTCTTTCACCTTTTATCACCGAGATATTGTTACGCCCTCCGCATTCATCGCTCTCTTCAAAACGATTCACGTAAATAAATAAATACCGCACCTCCGTCGATTTCTTTTCCGTTGGTAGTCTGCGAGAAATTGAAATCTCTACGAGTGCACCAGACGAGACGAGACGTTAAGCAAGACTAAACGAGATGACGAACCGGACGCCAGATATCGCGGATCAGGAAAGTCGACATTTAAAAAACAGCCGCCTCTGACCCTTCCGGTGCTCTTACAATCTTCCTAAATGTCCTTCGAAGCTTCCTATTAATTTCCACTTTAATTACAAATGTACGAGCTCATTAAATTGGAACAGCTGCATGTAGAATCCACGAATTCGGAATTACTCTGAGCCTTAATTTAACGTTGATATAGGTTAGGTTAGGAGATCTGTCCAATAAAACTTCTGGTACTAAAATATTTTAGTGCGTGTTAGTACATATTTCATCTACCGAATGTTGTAAAGATTTTTATGGGTTCAGATTTTTATCCATGTCTGGGCTCATGTCACATCTCTAGATCCCTATTTTACAGCATATTCCTGCATTCTTAGATCATTACATTTCTAGATCCGTACATCCCTACCTGGAACCCTATCTCGAAATAAAGAATATTGTGAGTTTATTCTGCCCCAATTTATCATACACGCAAAGTTAAAGTAGATTGGCCAGCATTCTAGTCGAGAATCCTCGCTATCTTGAGTCAGGAGGTCAATTTCGGGTCGTCGTATCTCCTTGGAAGCAACGACGTCTTCCAGATAACACGACAGATAAACACCCACATCTCTATACAATATTTTCGTTCGATCAAGACTTCGAATCAAAGAATTACCAGAAACCTCTTATCTGTACCTACCTTGCACCATTCGAAGGTCAATTAGGGAACCGATATCGACGGAGATCAATGATATGGTTCCTCGATTTTTAGATGATATACCGTGATTTTACAAATGGTATAATTAACACTAAAACTACCAAACCGGTTAAATGACCGCTTCATAAGTTTCTTATTATAAGGAACACATTTGGTTAAAGTACATTACTTAAAATCAGCATTGATTTTCAGCAAGATAAAGAATAAACGTGTGTACTAATTTAACTGTGTACTAATTTAACCACACATAAATATGTGTGGTTATTTGTTTATTTGTTTTTCAACTTCATTTTTAATTTCAAATTAAGTACACATTATACGTCGATAGGTTTAGTGTTAACGAAAGTTGCGTAGTTTTTATAGTTACCCTAAAAAGAAAATGTACAGTACACTCGATAAAGAATTTCAGCAAGAAGTAAAGCTTTATCGCGGCCGTGCATCCATCTATGCGCGATCGTTTTTCGATGTACCAACCGAGTCGAGGAGAAAAACCGTGGCAAACTCTGCAGCATTCTCCGAGAAACCGCGTCCACATTCCATGGGAGGAAAACACGTTCGAAAGCGGCGCGTAGCTGGCGCGCGCGCGTTCTGGGGTCCGCTCGCATGCGCGGGATTATCGAGCGGATAGGTGCGAGCGAGCGAGCGGAGACAGCGGAGAGGAGCCGAGTGTTGGTCGTAAACTCGAGCGTGAAGTAGGATCAGCGCGCGAATCAGCTAGTGATCGGTAAACCAGAGAGCCGCGTCGTTATGGCAGGCCTCGAGAACGTCTCGATGATCGCGGCGTAGCCGGAAGTTGGCCAATCTGACTCGTTTGGATCCGGAGGACACTGGGAATGCATTTAGCCGGCTCGCGATGACCTCCGTCAGCCTCGGTTCCGTCGCTCTACCGTGACCCGACTCGACGGATTTCACGCCCGTGGCCCTTGTGATTGGCTACGTGGCCAAGTGACGACAAGTGCACTTCCGGGATACGATCTACTGCGACAGCGGGATAACAGGCATGGTCACTCTTGCGAGCAGCTCCTCCTCGGGACTCGCCAGACCCACCATGCTGGAACAGCTTCTCGAGGAAATTAACTTTCAGAGGACGAAGGAGCTAAGGCAGATGCTCAAGGATGGTTCGTATCTACTTCTTAATTATTTACTTTTCAACTTATTTTTTAACTTGTCGTTTTCTTATGTAAGCTGCATGTTCCTTCTCAAAAGCAGACGGAGTATTTGACTATCATATCTCCTCTGATTATAAGTTTTTGCTGTTATACTCATACTGAAATACTCATACTAACTTGTACTTCTGTGTGAACCGCAAAGAATTAATGTTTTTTATAGAAATCTCCAGATAGGTTTAGTGTTAACGAAAGTTGCGTAGTTTTTATAGTTACCCTAAAAAGAAAATGTACAGTACACTCGATAAAGAATTTCAGCAAGAAGTAAAGCTTTATCGCGGCCGTGCATCCATCTATGCGCGATCGTTTTTCGATGTACCAACCGAGTCGAGGAGAAAAACCGTGGCAAACTCTGCAGCATTCTCCGAGAAACCGCGTCCACATTCCATGGGAGGAAAACACGTTCGAAAGCGGCGCGTAGCTGGCGCGCGCGCGTTCTGGGGTCCGCTCGCATGCGCGGGATTATCGAGCGGATAGGTGCGAGCGAGCGAGCGGAGACAGCGGAGAGGAGCCGAGTGTTGGTCGTAAACTCGAGCGTGAAGTAGGATCAGCGCGCGAATCAGCTAGTGATCGGTAAACCAGAGAGCCGCGTCGTTATGGCAGGCCTCGAGAACGTCTCGATGATCGCGGCGTAGCCGGAAGTTGGCCAATCTGACTCGTTTGGATCCGGAGGACACTGGGAATGCATTTAGCCGGCTCGCGATGACCTCCGTCAGCCTCGGTTCCGTCGCTCTACCGTGACCCGACTCGACGGATTTCACGCCCGTGGCCCTTGTGATTGGCTACGTGGCCAAGTGACGACAAGTGCACTTCCGGGATACGATCTACTGCGACAGCGGGATAACAGGCATGGTCACTCTTGCGAGCAGCTCCTCCTCGGGACTCGCCAGACCCACCATGCTGGAACAGCTTCTCGAGGAAATTAACTTTCAGAGGACGAAGGAGCTAAGGCAGATGCTCAAGGATGGTTCGTATCTACTTCTTAATTATTTACTTTTCAACTTATTTTTTAACTTGTCGTTTTCTTATGTAAGCTGCATGTTCCTTCTCAAAAGCAGACGGAGTATTTGACTATCATATCTCCTCTGATTATAAGTTTTTGCTGTTATACTCATACTGAAATACTCATACTAACTTGTACTTCTGTGTGAACCGCAAAGAATTAATGTTTTTTATAGAAATCTCCAGGTTGAACAGTTTTATTTAATCGTTTAAATGTTGTTGAACATACTGAAATGGCTTTGGAAGCTTACCTGCATCGTTTGGCAAATAAACATCATGGCCGGGTAAACACGCCCATGGCGTCCATCAGTTTGCTGGATGTGTTTACACGCCCGCATCACCTTAACACGTTCTTGTAGTCTTTGTTTGCGAAATGTCTGTCATGAATTGTTCATAGCCAATTTTATGGAATAGCTATACATTTGTTACTCTTCGATTCTTGCGGGAAGGAGATTACTTGATGGACGTATGATTTGGAGCTTAAATTTTGATGGTTTGACTGCTACAGTGGGGAGGACTATATTTAAATAAATTTGATGTAAATGAAATTGGTCATAGAGAAATATGATTGCTTCATTTAATTTAAACTTGATATTTCTACCAAGTTAATAAAATATTATCTAGATTTAGGGTGTGGGATCTAAGGGTACAGGAATCTAATATAAAGATCTAGGGTATAGTTTCTATTAAAGTAGAGATCTGAAGAGGATTTTAATATGGGATTTCATGAAAGTTTAAGTGTATACAGATCTAGAAATATAGAAAGCTAAAAATATAAAAATCTGTCGACACGGAAAATGTGAAGATCTAAAGATATAGTGTCCTAAGAATATAATCTAGTAATTGAGTAATCTATACTTCCACACCCACATTCTATTCTACATAGACGTTCTTGAATTTTTTTCTCTTGCGGTTGTTCGATGGTTGAGTCAGGTTAACGCGATCGCATGTAAGCGACGAGGGTGCTTTTGTTTGGCAGACGCTAGGGTCCCACACGAGGGTGATTCGACGATCGATGGCTTAAGAGCAAAACGAGCGAGGATTTCTTTCTGTTTGCACGCTTCCTCGTCGCTTTAGAAATGCGATACTCCTTCGACCAAAATACTTTTTCAAAAATATTCTGCTCAAAAGACAGTTTGTTATCGATGAATCGCAACATGGCGCGATAACCGTGTTCGATTCGCTGGGATAAGAGTCTGTGACAATTCCGAGGAATATATTTAAATTCATTTGCATGGTAATTACGCTGCCGTGAGGTCAGAGGCATTTAAATGAGATTTCTTTGTAAGTCTCTTATGTTCTCTCCGTGTCTGTGAGTGTTCGTTACTCTTTCAATTACACCTCTCGTGAACTCGTTTATAGATATTATATTTACAGATATGTACAGATTATTTTATTACGAATGTAGTAAAATTATTATTCGACTCAGAAATATTTAAACTAATAAAACTGGTAAAGGAACGTTCATCTAAAACGCATATTTCTTATGTCACGAAATTTTTATATTTAGCAGAGAAATGGAATTCGGAGCTGAGCAATGTTTACTCCGAAACACGAATAGAATTTACAATTCGAATTTCAAGGAAATGTCACCGTCGAATTTAAAGTTCTCGCTGTACGACTTTTTCCTGAGCACGACACAATGTCAAGGAAATACGCAACAATCTATTATCTTCAAATTTAACGACGGTTACGTAAACCTGAACAAAAGAGACTCTTCCTACGGTTATCATTGATGAACAACAAATTCATTCATCCTTTTGCTAGCGACATTACAATACCCACACCTTTTTGTACATTATAAAAAATAAATAAATTGTTTCTTTTACAAAAGCGATTATGCTCCAACAATATTCTACTGTGAAGTAATCCTTCAAACCAAAGTAACAAATTCATTTTATCGCAGATAAAATCAGACATTGATCGAGCATCGAAAGAACGATCAAGCAACGTTACAAACTCTTTCGTTCTATAAACGTAACATGACGCAACGCATATAGACTGACAATTAAACGCCGACTGTATGACTCAATCCTAATATGTTTCACATCGACAATCTTTTCACAAACAAAAAGCACAATTGTTTAAATAACGAACATGATTCGTGATTCACTTTTTGTGGGTCATACCGTGCTATTTCCATCTTCTACGATCCAATCAAGATTGGACTTCCCCATATCCCAAGAATTTAATGAAAATACCTATCGAGACGATGGGTCGGTGAATCGAACGAGATGCGCCAATGGAGACTGCAATTATAGTCTGCATTATCGTCTACCCGGGACATTCTTATCGATTATCGACTGCCCTTTCAGAGATTCGAGCGTCGTTAGTCTCCCTCGTAAATTACTTTGTTTCGATACAAGGGTTGACGATAACAATCTCGTCCGTTATACACATCCAGTGTTTCCGAGCGGCTGTTGCTAACGAGAGGTTCAAGGTGGAATTGGAGAGGTGGAAATTTGGGGAGTGGGGGAATTGAGGAGTGGAAGATTTGGGGGGTGAGGAATTTGGGGAGTGAGGAAATTGGAGGGTGAGAAATTTGGTATTTGAAAAATTTGGGGGATGAGAAATTTGGGGAATGAGAAATTTGGAGGATGAGAAATTTGGGGGATGAGAAATTTGAGGAGTGAGGAATTTGGGGGATGAGAAATTTGGAGATTGAGGAATTTGGGGGGTGAGAAATTTGGGGAACGGGAAATTTGGGGGATGAGAAATTTGGGGAGTGAGAAATTTGGGATTTGAGAAATTTGGGGAGTGAGGAATTTGGAGGATGAGAAATTTGGAGAGTGAGGAATTTGGGGGATGAGAAATTTGGAGATTGAGGAATTTGGGGGGTGAGAAATTTGGGGAACAGGAAATTTGGGGGATGAGAAATTTGGGGATTGAGGAATTTGGAGGATGAGAAATTTGGAGAGTGAGGAATTTGGGGGATGAGAAATTTGGAGATTGAGGAATTTGGGGAGTGAGAAATTTGGGATTTTTGAAATTTGGGGAGTGAGGAATTTGGGGGATGAGAAATTTGGAAATTGAGGAATTTGGCGGGTGAGAAATTTGGGGAACGGGAAATTTGGGGGATGAGAAATTTGGGGAGTGAGAAATTTGGGATTTGAGAAATTTGGGGAGTGAAAAATTTGAGGAATGAGATATTTAAAAATTTCAGAATTTGGAAGATGAAAAATTTGATTATTTGAAAATTTGGGGAGTAAGAAATTTGGGCACTGAGAAATTTGGTAATTTGGAATTTTGGAGAGTGAGAAACGTGGAGATCGGTAAACTTGAGATGTCAGAAATTCCAGAAACAACTGAAAGATTGACCACTTTAGTAGTTTGAAAATTTAGAAACTTAAATTTGAAGATTAAAGAATTTAAGAATGCAGAGTAACTATCATCTAACTTGCTTGCAGACTCGGGCTTCGTGGTACTCCAAGGTACAACCTACTGGACGGACCTGTTCGTCAGGCACTTTCTCTTCCAAGCAGAGCACACAATCGACGGCGACGATCTCCTCTTCTTCGTCCGTAAAAAACACGTGAAGACGTCATCGCGGTACTTGCCAAAATTCGAAACCGAAGTGAACGTGTTTCGCAAAGACAGTAAAAAGCTGCCCATCGGCGATCCCGACATCGATTGGGAGGAAACCGTGTACCTGAACCTGGTCGTGCATCAATTCGACTACACTCTCACGTTAGCGATCTGCACGAGGACCAGCCCCAAGGAATTGCAAGTAAGCATCTCCTCTCAACATCGTACATCCATGCACTGCATACATAAAATTTGAATGTTCTCTTCAGGTATTACGACGACATTCTCAGAAAGTGTACGCTAGTCCAAGTCGTCGACGCATGGACGCCAAAGGAGATCTCGAGGAGATAACTTATCCGCATATATGCTTTATGGTGGACAATTTCGATGAAGTTTTCTGTGATATTCTAGTCAGGGACGGAGAGATGGTGTGCGTGGAATTGGTAGCGTCGGATCGTGAGGGTGCGATCCAAGGTGTCATTTTTCTTGGGTCCATCAGATACGATGCTTTGAAGAAAGTATACGATGCGAGAGTAGGTTCTTTGATCAAATCATGGTCATTCGGATCAGAACCGTATTTTACGTTCATACTTGTTTACAGTCGAGCCTCAGCACCAAAATGGCGCAGCGCATGACCTTTGGCCTGTTTTCCGGCGCGGCCTCGCAGAGAATAGAGTTCGTTCGAATGAAGGGACCTCGTGGTACGATCTTATTATACAATTACTTTCAGTATACAAAATATATAATTTGTACAACTCTCACTGTTCCAACTATCATCTCATTAACCTTGTAACCTTGTAATCTTCTAATCAAAAAAATGTTAACCTTCTCGTTTCAATTCTAAATAACCCTTCTTCCAGGCAAAGGACACGCAGAGATGGCCGTGACGAAGCCGAAGGGTTCCGGAGCAGAGACACCCACCTCCGAGCCCGGTTACTGCGCCACGGATTCTTTGTGGGACGCCGACTGGGACGACGCCGAAGAATTGTTCATGTATCGGCATCAACGAAGGTTATCGGATCCCAGCGCGAACTTGAACAATTTCGTTCGAGGCGGTTGGAGAACGAAACCCGACACCGCGGCGACGAAAGCCAGGTCGGAGAACGAGGGTCTGGACTCGATGGCGAACGGCCTGAACGAGATCGAGGCTGGGGACGTTCGAGACGGTAACTAGTTCTCTTTCTAGCGGACGATTGATCCGAAGACAGGATGGAAAATCGCGAAACGAATCTCACTCACCTTGTTCTTCCTGCCTGCGCCCTATCAGGATCGACTGTGCATGCTGTTGTGTTATCTGTGTATTCTGCACATTTCTTTCTCTCGATAGATAGACGACCCTCTTAGGAGCCGTGTCTCGAACCTGAGCTGTTGTTTAGGACACGTTGGACTTTGTTTCTCCGGGTTAAATATTTCGATCCATCGGGATCGTTTGCATGCTTCGAGTTTTCTTTCGCATCTTTGACCACTTTCAAATCTGAGTTGTTCCTTTAAGATGTCCAAGGGATCTGAGACGGTTTCCTTTTGGTGATTCTCGAGTTAACGGACCTTGAGAAAGTAGTGCCCTTGCGTTCCTTCGGAACCGATCGAAACCGTGATTCCGCAAACACGGAGATACGGAGAAAGATAGAGTGTAAGACAGATCGAGGAGAAACGGCTGTAGACCACCACCATGCGAACATCCGCGTGTCACAAATGGACAAACGAGTAGAGATCGATTCGATAGAGCAAAACGGATGAAACGAGAAAAACAGAAATACCTTGTCTCTCTAATCTGTGGCACGTGTGCCATTCCGGCTCTTTCCTTTATAGCCGACCTACAGGATAGCAGCTGGGGCGGCCGGGGCTCGCCAGGAAATCACAGGAGTCCTCACGCCAGACGACGAAGATCCCCGCTTGTTCCTGGCAGGCAACAACGTCCGAAGCAAAAGCAACGTAACTCGTGGGAACGGGCCGGAAACGAGAACTCGCCGAATCGCAAGGAGGCCTATCACGAAACGGACGGTGAGCTCCTGCTGCTCCAAACGTTCTTCGTCTCTTTCTTTTCGTCGCTCAACTACAAACACCTCTTAAAGAAATCCTCCTCATAACAATTCTCTGAACCGACCACAAAAACATTGCCTCTTAAAGAAATCTTAATAGTCATATAACCTTTTGAACCGACTGAGATCTGCAGTTCAATGTGTCATTCCTTACCAATACTTACATGCAGTTTAATAGTTGTAAAAATTAGCAAAGAACAAGAAAAAGCAAACCTAAGGTTAATCTTATTTATTCTGTTATTACCAAGTGCATTGATTTCTCTATCTTCTAAATGTTTACCAATGTCTACAAGTCTCTCATTGTCAGAGCATAATGCTCACGTCAACTTCAATCTTAGAAGTATCATTCATACTTGTGACACGAATCTGAGTGGTCTAATGAGTCCAGAAATAGATGTAGTATGAAACTTCCTCGAATGGAAAAGTAGACCTTGCGTTCCCTCATGACAATCCCACACCACCAATCGACAAAAATAGATAGAAAGAAAAGAGCAAGACAACGATATTATGAAAGAGACGAAGCAACGCTAGAATCGAGACAGGAGCACGATCGAAACCTCCGTTTCATGGCAGGCCTCCAGAACCACCAGCACCATAATCACATCGAGGTCGGTAGCGAGATACTGGTGCCAGCGGCGCCATGTTTGACGGACGACAACGTGCGCCAAAAGTTGGACGCCGGGGCGATTCTGGTCCACGGAAAGGAGGAGCTGCCTCTCGGATACGAGGAGCAGGACAATAACCGGAAACGCAGGCCATACAGCACCGGCCATATTAACCACGAGCGTATCAACAACCTGGAGAACGACGAGGAACATCGACGTCTCAGCGACGACGAGGTGGTCAGGGTACGTCGAACGGACGGTGGACGTCGACGGCTACGATCAGCTGGCTCCGATCACGAAGATTACTACACCGGTCGCAACAGGAACAGAAACGACGACGAGCAGTTGAAAGATAAAAACGCGAACGCCCGTATTACGCGTGGAAATCTGACCACGCACAGACAGAGCGCTACCCTGCCGAGGAGGAGGCGAAGACGAGCGTTGTCCGGAAGCTTCGCGGGCAACCCACTTCCTCCTCATCGAGTCACACCGGACGGCACAGCTATCTACTATTGGTGCGAGCTCCCGCGTCGCCCCGGCTCACAGGGTAAATTCTTCTTCCCCACCCTGATCGACACCTTCAATACACCCCCCACATACTATACCGATCACGCGATTAACGGCTGCTACGTGAACGATGGCTTCCCACAACTTTTCCAGGCTTTTTCTAACTCTCTCCGAAATTGGGATGTTCCCAAACTTTTTATTTCTTCGATTTGATATTATTACCGTATTTCGTGTTTGGTACAAAAGTGATGGTCGTAGAGGAGATCTCGATGGTCCATATAGTCCCATATGTGAAAATTCCACATATGCAAATTCGACGCGTGGAATCGCTACACATGGAAATTCTATGCGTGGAAATCCTACATACGGAAATTGTACGCGTGGAAACCCTACACGTGGAAATTCTGCGCGTGGAAGTCCCATATGTGAAAATTCCACATATGCAAATTCGACGCGTGGAATCGCTACACATGGAAATTCTATGCGTGGAAATCCTACATACGGAAATTCTACGCGTGAAAACCCTACACGTGGAAATTCTGCGCGTGGAAGTCCCATATGTGAAAATTCCACATATGCAAATTCGACGCGTAGAATCGCTGCACATGGAAATTCTACGCGTGGAATATTCAATGCGTGGAAATCCTACATACGGAAATTCTACGCGTGGAAACCCTACACGTGGAAATTCTGCGCGTGGAAGTCCCATATGTGAAAATTCCACATATGCAAATTCTTAGATATGGAGATCTCGATATGGACTGCTCGCTAATAAAGATTGAAACACTTGGAAGTAGGGGTGCAAGGTTAAAAATCATCACAAGATAACTCTGTATCTAAAGAAGATATTTTCTAACTTCTGGTAAACTCCAGGAGTCAAAGACCTGTTCAAATAAATCAGACTACTAATAAAATTCAATTCATTTAGCAGTATTCTCAAAGTTAACCTTTAGTCCCTTAATAAACAAAGAAAAGCGATCGTTCATCGGAGCAGCCAGTGTTACACCAGACAGCAGCAGCCATATTGTCCATTCAGTCCGCAATGCTCGTGTATTCATCCTTAAAACTACAAACTTGTAGAACCATGTTCTACCCATGACTGTGTTTATGAGGATGGTGAAATGGGAAGTGCGTTCCAAGACTGTCGCGACGGTGTTCGTGCTGGTGGTGGTTTCAGACGTTCAGCGATTCGATAAATGAAAGCCGTTTACTCGACGAGTTTCACCACCGGTAAACATGGTCATCCACCAGTGATGGGTAACTAACGGGCATCGATGGGCAGCCTACTGGGGGTTATCAGGAAAGATGGATTCGTCGTTGCACACCAGTGCCCGTGAGCTCTTCTGTGGGCACTTATGCCCATCACTGGTCGATCAGTAAACATACGCAAACATATAAGAAATTCATAGAATCGTAGACACCAGCTGTGATAAATTCGCTTATTTTTCTCTTTGATGACGTTCGATTGGTAGATTAGAAATCGAACGTTGTCCGAAGTGCATCCCAGATCGTGTTTAACTATTCTGCACACCAGTAGCATTTGTCATCGTATCATATTTGCTACACTTGTAAATTATATCCTGTAATTTGCTATGGATCCATTGAAAATTCTCCTACGTTATTGAATCGTTTAATTTGTATGTCAGGTTAACAATAATCGAATTACTCGGTGTGTGCAGAGCTGGATGATGGAGCTTATAACCCACTGTGGACGATGAGAGGATTCACCCAGACGTTCCATTTCTGGAAAGAAACCAGACGAGCCCAATCCGTTCCTCTGAACGCGTTTCTTACGTACATTACGTTGCCCTGGTGGAGCATTGCCAAAGGTACTACCAAATTTACGATACAATTATAGAAATTCCATGTATAAACGTGAATTTTTCTCGTTTCAGATATTCTCGATCACCGGGAAGGACCTATTCTGACGTTTTAGCCAATATGAAATTCCATTTTAATTTCCAAAGGATTCTCCTTTTTCATTCGGTTTCCCACTTTGTACGCACTTGGATAGAATCGTGGCCCAAAATTGAAGTGTATAGAATAAGAAATAAACGAGATACTATTTATAACCCCTGTGATTGTCGCTTTATTGCAACGAGTTTATTTGAGCTTATCCCACGTGTAGGGTTTCCACGCGTAGAATTTCCATATGTAGGATTTCGACGCATTGGATATTCCACGCGTAGAATTTCCATGTGTAGCGATTCCACGCGTCGAATTCGCATATGTGGAATTTTCACATATGGAACTTCCACGCGCAGAATTTCCACGTGTAGGGTTTCCACGCGTAGAATTTCCGTATGTAGGATTTCCACGCATTGGATATTCCACGCGTAGAATTTCCATGTGTAGCGATTCCATGCGTCGAATTTGCATATGTGGAATTTTCACATATGGGACTTTCACGCGCAGAATTTCCACGTGTAGGGTTTCCACGCGTAGAATTTCCATATGTAGGATTTCCACGCATTGAATATTCCACGCGTAGAATTTCCATGCATAGCGATCCCACGCGTCGAATTTGCATATGTGAAATTTTCACATATGGGACTTTCACGCGCAGAATTTCCACGTGTAGGGTTTCCACGCGTAGAATTTCCGTATTAGGGTTTCCTCGCATTGGATATTCCACGCGTAGAATTTCCATGCATAGCGATCCCACGCGTCGAATTTGCATATGTGGAATTTTCACATATGGGACTTCCACGCGCAGAATTTCCACGTGTAGAATTTCCATATGTAGGATTTCCAGGCATTGGATATTCCATACGTAGAATTTCCATGCATAGCGATCCCACGCGTCGAATTTGCATATGTGGAATTTTCACATATGGGACTTCCACGCGCAGAATTTCCACGTGTAGGGTTTCCACGCGTAGAATTTCCGTATGTAGGGTTTCCTCGCATTGGATATTCCACGCGTAGAATTTCCATGTGTAGCGATTCCACGCGTCGAATTTGCAAATTGAAGTGTATAGAATAAGAAATAAACGAGATACTATTTATAATCCCTGTGATTGTCGCTTTATTGCAACGAGTTTGGTCAGAGGAAAGCAGTTTTGATTCCTTCGTCCGAGATCGATTTAAAGCTTACTTCCACGCGTATCAAAATAAACATAAAATACATATATCCACTTAATTTCTTTTTTCATCGAACACATTCAGCTCACGTTATTCGCAAAAACGTCCAAGTGGTCACCGAAATTGATCCACGTGTGGTCCCACAACTCGGGATTCGCTCTCTTGTCCCATGGAAGATTTCCAGGTAGCAGGGCAGTAGCGTTCCACTTCTTCAGGTCCTCGCGCATGGCCCTCGCGATTTCAGGGTACCTTCAACAGGATACTTATTTAATACTTTTACAAGATAATCGTTTATGGATTACAAAGGATTCCAAGTGAACGTCAAGGCTTAGTTCGAAGACTAAGGACATAAGGGTTCATTGTCACTCACTCGTTGATGAGATTATTATCCTCGCAAGGATCCTTGAGAACGTGGAAGAGGCAGGGCGCGATCAGAGGTTTACACAACGGCAGAGTGTCGTTTCTAGGTCGACATTTGATCATCGCCTGCTCTCGAAGTCTCCGTACATTTTCCGACGACAGACTGTATCCCACGCTGGCCACTGCTCGACCTGTTGGGCTGCCGATCACACCGCCAATGTCGTAGACCCACTCTCTCCCTGAAGGTCCGTACCAACCGTCCCACTGTCCCTCATAAGTAGACCCTGCAATATCAAACTGATATCAAGTTCACAAGAAAGTTGAAATAAAACACCCTTCACACGATAGTACAATTACTTTGTACCCTGAATATATTTCCACTCGCCAATCGTGATGCCCGACACGCCGAAGATGTCGTCGATGTTGTGGAGAACACTTTGGCGAGGCGATTCGGTGTCTTCGCTTAAGGCATGCCACAGATCTAAACCGTCTATGGATAGATTCGATGGGTCTCCACCAGCAGCGGTCAGTAAGGTCGGTAACCAGTCGCTGATGTGGAACAGTTGTCTGCTCACTCTGCCAGGACGAATCAGTCTGGGAGACCATATTAAACCGGCTCCCCTCACGCCGCCTGCAAGAAATGCTGATTATGAAGTTTCGATTGTATTGTTACTATTTGGTAATTGATCGGTGACTTCAAGGACCTGAAAGGGTTTAAGAGCTTTCAAAGAAATACCTTCCCAGAGGGTGTTCTTTGTACCCCTCAACGGCCAGTTGGAGGCGGCATTCAGATTGAAACCGGCTGGTGGGCCACCATTGTCCGTGGAGAACACTATTATACTGTTCTTTAACATCCCCTTCCGTTGAAGCGCTTCGACCACCTCGCCCACAGACTCGTCCAACTTGCTCAACATGGCTGAAATATATATTATATCAATACACCTATTCAATACAGTAGTTTAATTACATAACCTTGATTGACGTCATGCAACAGAATGTTACAAATCTAATGCAATATTAACCCCTTGCAGAATTGACGAGCTACTATAGGGTAATTGTATGACTGACATTTCCAGTTGTTGGATAATTTAATTCGTACTCTAGTTACCAGCAAAGCGTCTGCGATTATAATCGAAGATGTTGGTGAATTTCGCGACGTCCACATCAGGCGCCGGTAGAGGATCGTAAGGATTTCCAGAGTGCACAGCTGCGTGTGCCAAATAAAGAAACAGAGGTTTGCTATCGTTATGATTGTTGATCAATTTCACCGCCTCCGACGTGAAGACGTCCGTAGAATATTGGCCATGAAGATCCCAGGCTGCCTCCATTCCTCGTCTCATGTCCAATCCCCAATATGGCTATCGTTAAGAGATAATCAATTAACATTAACATTAACATTAATATTATAAATCGAAGTAAATCACTCACACTTTCAACGGCAGTATGATCAAAGTAGTCCTGATGTCCGCTCCAGAAACCAATATGAGAATCAAATCCCCTGTAAGTCGGTGTGTACTGCTTCGTATAGAATCCTAAATGCCATTTTCCAACGATGTGTGTCCTATAACCGAGCTCTTTTAAATATTCTGGTAGCAACTTTTCTTGGAGAGGTAGTCCTCTTGGCTCGGCACACTTTAGAACCTTTAAAACGGTGTTAATTATTTCTCGACCGGTTGATAATATTGCGGCTGTAGGATTTTAACATTTCACGAGTCTGTAGCTAAAGGTCAGTCCTTTCCCTACGTGAGATCGAATGCAACGAGATGGTATCTTCGGATTTGTCGGTACATATTGGAACAACGTGGCTTAGGTCATACGGTAGATTTCCATATGTGAGATTTCTACGCGTTAGATTTCCATGCGTGAGAGTTCCATATGTGTGATCTCCACATGTGAGGTTTCGATGCATTAGATAGCCATGCTTTAGGTTTCTACGCGTAAGATTTCCACGTGTGGAATTACCATGCGTTGAATTTCCACGTATAAGATTTCCATATGTGAGGTCTACACATGTGTGATCTCCACATGTGAGGTTTCCATTCATTAGATAGCCATGCTATAGGTTTCTACGCGTAAGATTTCCACGTGTGGAATTACCATGCGTTGAATTTCCACGTATAAGATTTCCATATGTAAGGTCTACACATGTGTGATCTCCACATGTGAGGTTTCCATTCATTAGATAGCCACACAATAGGTTTCTACGCGTAGGATTTCCACGCGTAGAATTACCATGCATTTAATTTCCACGCGTAAGATCTCCACACGTGAGGTCTACACATGTGTGATCTCCACATGTGAGGTTTCCATTCATTAGATAGCCACACAATAGGTTTCTATGCGTAAGATTTCCACGCGTAGAATTATTATGCATTTAATTTCCACGCGTAAGATCTCCACACGTGAGATCTCCACATATGAGGTCTCCACACGTGAGATCTCCATATATTAGATCGCCACGCGTTAGGTTTCTACGCGTAAGATCTCCACGCGTTGAATTCCTACGCGTCAGATCTCCACGCATTGAATTCCTACGCGTCAGATCTCCACACGTGAGATTTCTACGCGTCGGATCACCACGCGTAGATCTTCCAGGTGTGAGTTCCAGGTGTCGATTCGTTACATTTCTTCCTATAGAATTACCACGAATTCCCACGCGTTATCTCTCATAACACGCATTTATCAATCCGATACCTTCTCCAAATATTTACCATCTATCCCCTATTTTACAGTATCCTAACCTGCCGAATACCACTGATCACGAAAACTAAATCAATGCATAAAGCAGCCTATGAACGCACTTAGAACCTAGCCATTACATCGCTTTTCAAAGCAACACAAATGGCTGTTGAACAATAATAAACAACTGGCAATTTCGCTAGCCTTATTTACAAGCTTATTGTCCGCTTAAACGGTTGAGATTAGATGCTCGTCCACATACCCCGTGTTGCATTCCAGTGTGAATTGGGTATTTGCCAGTCATCAAAGCGCTCCTGGATGGTGTGCAAATCGGAGAAACATAATATCGATCAAGGAGGAGACCGGAATACGCGAGAGCATCGATATTTGGAGTTGGTATTTGGCCAGAACCGTGAAATCCGACGTCGTTCCATCCCTGTTCAGTTGCATGTCAAATAAAAATCGTTTATTTCAATCAGAAACGTTGTTCGATAGAGCTTCAGACGCTGGAAGTTTTGAGAGTTAATTGAATGTTACTTGCTTTGTGAGCAAACTTTGAGTTTGAATGCAGGTTTGGAAACTCTCAAAGCTTCCAGCCTTGAATGACATATTCCTGTCACAGACAATTGTCTTAAATGAGATTATCGAGACATTAAAATTAACAGTAATAGTGACAATAAAACTAGGAGTAAAAGTAACAGTAGTAATAACGTAACAGTAATAAAGTACTCAAATAATAAATGAATACTCAATAACAATAATAAATATTGTATATACCACTAAAATATTCAAACTTAATACAAGGAAAGAAGTCATACAAGATCTTTAAGAGTCAAACAACATACAGAAACAAAGATGAAGTAAATCAAACAGCAAATGAAAAGATGACAACTTACTAAATCATCAGCCAAAATGAAGACAATGTGTGGTCGCTCAGCTGCCGTTACATGACGAAGGAAAGGTACAATCAAGAAGGCCCACAAAACCGCTCGTGCTTCGATCATCCTGCTAGACGTCTGCCTGCAGGACGTTTCAAGCAACTAAACCGGTTTCCCCGACGATCTTTAAGTCCCTAAACTCCCCGCGACAAAGAAGTAATTGTCATGGGTGTCGCGATAACGCATGCAAATGTAAGTTCCGAGATTACGTTTCACGTTCGCAAGTCTGCACGAGCAACCGAGTTGACGACCGATACCACACTGTGTGTTCAGCTCGTGCACTCGTGAATGGTGGGGTCTTTGTTGACGAGATATGCCTGGAGCGACTCTTCTTCCTCTTAGGCAGTTTTCGTTTTTATCGACCTCGAAGAATGATGCAAGTTGAAATTATGAAATATGAGGAATACGTGGAATTATGAGATATGAGGGGTACTTGGTTGAAATTATGAGATAGGACAAGCTATGTTGTAACATAACAGGTATTGTGACAATATCTGTTAATTTTCATATGTGGAATTTTCATGCGTAGGATTTCTGCATGTAGGGTTTCCACGCGTAGGATTTTCATGTGTAGGATTTCCATATGTAGGGTTTCCACGCGTAGGATTTTCATATGTAGGATTTCCATGTGTAGGATTTGCACGCACTGGATATTCCACGCGTAGAATTTCCATATGTAGCGATTCCACACGTCGAATTTGCATATGTGGAATTTTCACATATGGGACTTCCACGCGTAAAATTTCCATATGTAGGATTTCCACGCATTGGATATTCCACGCGTAGAATTTCCATGTGTGGCGATCCCACGCGTCGAAATGTGCATATGTGGAATTTTCACATATGGGACTTCCACGCGCAGAATTTCCACGTGTAGGATTTCCACGCGTAGAATTTCCGTATGTAGGATTTCCACGCATTGGATATTCCACGCGTAGAATTTCCATGTGTAGCGATTCCACGCGTCGAATTTGCATATGTGGAATTTTCACATATGGGACTTCCACGCGCAGAATTTCAACGTGAAGGGTTTCCACGCGTAGAATTTCCATATGCAGGATTCCCACGCATAGGATATTCCACGCGTAGAATTTCCATGTGTAGCGATTCCACGCGTCGAATTTGCATATATGGAATTTTCACATATGGAACTCCCATATGTAGAATTTCCATGCGTCGAATCTTCTTAATGTCGAATTTCCCCGCGTTGAATCTCCTTACTTTCTTATTTGTACTGGGTCAGAAATATCGTCTGAAGTAACCTTGAGCTGCGCTGTACCAAGATTGCATCAAAAAACATTAATAAAAAATTTCTCTATTGCATAAGTTATCCTGTATTTAACAAAGCTATTTGCAATTTTTAGTACGAAATAGCATCTGCAAAAGTTAGTGGATCTATATGGATTTTTCACATAATGCATCTGTACATTGAGTGCAGTATTGTACTCAAATTAATTCAAACATTACATTCTTAGTTAATGTAACAAGTTAACAGCTATTTTTCTAAAGAATACCATACAGAATATTAATAACAGTGAACGTAAAATGTCAGCAAGTATGTCTGGGTCAGAACGTAAAAAGCATATTGACAGAGATAAATTTCAAAGAACCGAGTGTAATGTTTCTCTATTTTCTTAACGAGGTTTCGTCACGCAGCCTTTTACCGAAAAACGACGATAAGCAATCGACAACGTCAAAAATTGCGCACCGTTGTTTACTCAACGACGAAAATGGGGAAGGTCGATTAAGATGATTATCGTTGAACGGGTGCCATGCAATTTGCGAGTAGATTAAAAATGGGGAATGGTTATTCGATGGTTGATTGCAACAATCGATGGTCTAGCTTCGTAGTGTAGCGACACATGTGTTAATTCAGTGAGCTTGTTGAAAAGACATTTGCTTCGTTCTTAAAGTTTAATAGAAATTATGCTAACGCGAATGAACGGAGCTTCCTTCTCGGGCTAACTATAACTGATTGTAATTGTCGTCACTTGACCTACGGTGCAGGGGACAATTGTTATTATAGTTGGTTTATACTGTGGCGATAAATTGTGTGGCGAAAGAGCGTGTGGAGATGTTATATATGGAGATTCGACACAAGATGTAATTTATGAAAATGTATGATGTGGAGATATAGCGAATACAAATCTAACTTGAAGATGTCGCGTGAAAATTGAACTCGTATTCCACATATAAAGATTTCACATATGGAGCGTCACATGTGTGAATTCAACCGTGTGAAAATTTGACATATGAAGATTCTACTTGTAGGGATTTAGCACGCATTCACAATGCGTGGAAATTTCATACGTGGCGATCCTACATGTAGAAAACTGACATATGAACATTTACAACACGTGGCATTCTAGTATGTGGAAATGCAACGCGTGAAAATACAATGCGTGGAAGTTTCGTGCGTGGAAATTGCACATGTGGAAATCTAATATGTGAAGACTCACAACGCATAGAAATTTGATACGTGAAAATCTAATATATGGAGGCTCACAACGCATGGAAATTTGATGCATGCAAATCCCACATATGGAAATCTGATATGTGGAGACTCACAACGCGTTGAAATTTAATGCGTGGCGATCCCACACGTTGAAACCACACATACATAAATCCACAACGCCTACATATGTGACAGCTAAATCCACGCCAAAATATAACACATGCTTATGGACCACCTAGTACATACTAATTGCTGCTTCATTTCTTTCAGCCTAAAATGTCTCTAAACATTCTACCAATTTACACACTACTCGCCAACGCAACAGCAGAAAACCCCGAATACAACAGCTTAATCCAGAAAACGGTACTAAATAGCATAAATTAAATTTAACCTCCCATAAAATTAACTTGTGTCTTTTCTTTCCAGATAACAATTCTTCAAACCTGCGAAACCAATCAAATCTCCACTCTATTATTAGCAGGAGACTACGATGACTTTTTTCAAAAATCATTAGTGAACAACATACCAGTGGCTCTGATTGCAGAATCGAAATTAGACGCTTTCGAATTCTACACCCTAACTCGATATTTTTTCACGATGTTTAAGCAATTTTCGTCTTATCATTTGTTTCACAAGTTAACGCAGTTCGTGGTTGTTTCACAATCGCAACCTATGTTACGGCTGCTTCTGCAGAGGATACGAGACTCTACTTGGGCTAACTTTACTGGATTCTACATTTTAATTGATAGGAAGACCGAGAACGGCTGCGCGAACGCGTACAGGTTTCTCTGGGTCGCCTGGGAGTATGATCTGTTGTCTTCGATATTTTTTTGTGCCGATCCTGTTGAAGGACTATTGATTTACACGTACAATCCTTATTCGAATATCGTTCCGAGCGAGTGGCAGGATGCTGGGAGGTTTAAGGGACGGAAGGGGCATCCTTGGTTGTTGATGAAGAGGAAGTATCAAGATGGTAGATTCTATAGCTCAAGATATTTAATTTAGCCTCTTCAAATAATCTTTGTATCTTTTTCATATTACATACATGTTACACACATTTAATTCTACTTTTGACATTCAGCAAATGGCCATATATACGGACTCCTTCTTTTCTGTTATATTAATAACCTTTTAGCAATTCATTATGCTTACTTTATTTACTTTAGCTACTTTATCCACTCAATTTAAGATAAGTAAGATGAAATAACATGAAGGTACTGATATCATTTCTAACTTTAACGAAAGTCATTCCCACGGAAGTTAATGATAGACTTACCTAAAAGTGTCTATTTAAACTATTGTTTAAAAGTATCCCTATTAAATATGAAACCCTAAATTATTCAAAGGTAATGCGTGGCGATCCCACACGTTGAAACCACACATACATAAATCCACAACGCCTACATATGTGACAGCTAAATCCACGCCAAAATATAACACATGCTTATGGACCACCTAGTACATACTAATTGCTGCTTCATTTCTTTCAGCCTAAAATGTCTCTAAACATTCTACCAATTTACACACTACTCGCCAACGCAACAGCAGAAAACCCCGAATACAACAGCTTAATCCAGAAAACGGTACTAAATAGCATAAATTAAATTTAACCTCCCATAAAATTAACTTGTGTCTTTTCTTTCCAGATAACAATTCTTCAAACCTGCGAAACCAATCAAATCTCCACTCTATTATTAGCAGGAGACTACGATGACTTTTTTCAAAAATCATTAGTGAACAACATACCAGTGGCTCTGATTGCAGAATCGAAATTAGACGCTTTCGAATTCTACACCCTAACTCGATATTTTTTCACGATGTTTAAGCAATTTTCGTCTTATCATTTGTTTCACAAGTTAACGCAGTTCGTGGTTGTTTCACAATCGCAACCTATGTTACGGCTGCTTCTGCAGAGGATACGAGACTCTACTTGGGCTAACTTTACTGGATTCTACATTTTAATTGATAGGAAGACCGAGAACGGCTGCGCGAACGCGTACAGGTTTCTCTGGGTCGCCTGGGAGTATGATCTGTTGTCTTCGATATTTTTTTGTGCCGATCCTGTTGAAGGACTATTGATTTACACGTACAATCCTTATTCGAATATCGTTCCGAGCGAGTGGCAGGATGCTGGGAGGTTTAAGGGACGGAAGGGGCATCCTTGGTTGTTGATGAAGAGGAAGTATCAAGATGGTAGATTCTATAGCTCAAGATATTTAATTTAGCCTCTTCAAATAATCTTTGTATCTTTTTCATATTACATACATGTTACACACATTTAATTCTACTTTTGACATTCAGCAAATGGCCATATATACGGACTCCTTCTTTTCTGTTATATTAATAACCTTTTAGCAATTCATTATGCTTACTTTATTTACTTTAGCTACTTTATCCACTCAATTTAAGATAAGTAAGATGAAATAACATGAAGGTACTGATATCATTTCTAACTTTAACGAAAGTCATTCCCACGGAAGTTAATGATAGACTTACCTAAAAGTGTCTATTTAAACTATTGTTTAAAAGTATCCCTATTAAATATGAAACCCTAAATTATTCAAAGGTCCCAATATATGCAAGAATCTGACCTTCGACAAAACGACCGACCTCAACGGCTACGAAGTCCGCCTGAACGCGGTGTCGTTCATGCCACACCTTGGCGTAGATCTTAACAAATCGGGATTGGACAAGTTCTCCGGCGGCAACGGTGAAATCATGAAGATGGTATTCCGTAAACTAAACGCGAGCATGAATGTGATCGTGAACAATGGAACTATTTATGACCTTGGAGGTGTCGATAGCCATGGATATCCAGTGGGAATGTTGGCGGATTTAGATACTGGAAGAGTGGACATAGGAATGAATGCTAGGAACCTGTATGCGATGTGGAAGCTGGGGTATATATCCTTTCAATCTCGCATAAGCTAATTAAACCTTGAAACGTAACCTAACCTTGAATCCTAACCTAGCCTTGACACCTAACCTAATCTTGAAACCTAACCTTGAAGACCTAACCTTGATAACCTTGGATAAACACATAGTTCCCCATTTAGAACCTTATTCTCTTAAACTGTTCCTGATTTTGCTGAACTAAGTCTAAGATCATTTACCGTAATTCCAATAATAACAATTACAAGTTTACAAACATTGAATCGATCACAACATATGTGTTACAGTCACACATATCCTCACGACCAAGACGGTGTATGCGTGATCACCCAAAGAGCAGGAGAAAAATCGGAGCTCCTTAAGGTCTTATCCTTCATGTCACCATCCGTGAGGCTTACGAACGCCATAATTATTCTAATTGCGCTCTGCCTACTTACAAAACAGAAAGGATTTGTTCCAGCAATTCTGGACGTCATCCGAATGATAACGTCTGCCACCATGCATCGTTTTCCTCAAGGTTCAGCCTGCAGGATTTTCTTCATCAGCGTGCTCGTGTTGATAGTGATAATGAACTCGTTGTTGTTAAGTCATTGGTCCTCGTTACTCACTGTGCCGGTACCTAGGCCTAATATTAAGACGCTGGAGGATCTCAAGGTTTGTGTATTTTTTGTTGTGTTATCTCGCGTTAGATTGCCAGGGTTTGGATTTTAGATGAGAGGCTTTAACATGTGTGGCATTTTCACGTGTAGGATTTCCACATGTAGGATTTCCACGTGTAGGATTTCCATGTGTGAGATTTCTACATGTGGGATTTCCACGCGTTAGGATTTTCATGTGTGAGATTTCCACGCGTTAGGATTTCCATGTGTGAGATTTCCACATGTGGGATTTCCACGCGTAGGATTTCCATGTGTGAGATTTCCACATGTAGGATTTCCACGCGTTAGGATTTCCATGTGTGAGATTGCCACATGTGGGATTTCCACGCGTAGGATTTCCATGTGTGAGATTTCCACATGTAGCATTTCCATATGTGAGATTTCCACATGTAGGATTTCCACGCGTTAGGATTTCCATGTTAAAATTTCCACGCGTAGAATTTCCACGTGTAGGATATTCCACGCGTAGAATTTCTATATGTAGCATTACCACGCGTTGAATTTGATGGGATTTCCACGCGTAGAATTTCCATGTGTGAGATTTCCATGCGTAGGATTTCCATGTGCGAGATTTCTACGCGTAGGATTTCCATGTGTGAGATTTCCACGCGTAGGATTTCCATGTGTGAGATTTCCACGCGTAGGATTTCCACGCGTAGAATTTTCATGTGTACCGATCCCTCGCGTCGAACTTGCATATGTGGAATATTGACACATACGGCTTCCACGCGTAGAATTTCCACATGTAGGATTTCCACGCACAGAATTTCCACATGTAAAATTTCCACGCGTAGAATTTCCACGTGTAGGATATTCCACGCGTAGAATTTCTATATGTAGCATTACCACGCGTTGAATTTGCATATGTGGAATTTTGATATATGGAATTCCCACGCGTAGAATTTCCATTCATCGAATCTCCTACTATAAGTTCTCCACGCGTCAAATCTCATTAACGTGGAATTTCCACGCGTTGAATCTCTCACTGCAGAATCTCCACACACTAAATCTCTCACTGTAGAATCTCCACACATGGAATCTGCACATCTAAAATCACTACTCACCGAATACCAACATGAAACCTCCAAGCATCCACTATATTCGCAATTCCAAAAATGTCAAATGCAAAAAAATATTAACCATTTCCCTTGTCTCTAGAAATCCAACAACACGATATATGGGTCCACATTTTACGCGCACCTGTTCAAGAATCAGGTGGTATTAAAATCGCGTTTCCAAGCGGTCTCGTACGACGAATGCAAACAACGAGTACGGCTGTCTCGCAACGCAGCTTGCTTGGATGATTGTTTCCACCTATACGTAAGAATCAGAAGCGATATCGAGACGTTCACCCGATCGGCACCGTTACAACAGCATTTACAAGTGTACGTGACGAGGGAGAATTGGTCGCTGCTGACTCCGGTAACGAAACTGATACAAATTGCAGTGGAGGCTGGAATAGTAGTGATGTGGAAGAAGCTCAACATGCTGACGATGTATCGAGCTTGGAAGAGGAGGCTAGCTAGGGAATACAGAAGCTATAGAACCTTGAGAATCAAGCATGTCTCGTTCTGTTTCTATTTGATCGCGATTGGATACTGTTTGGCTACTGTTGTCTTTGTTCTTGAGATTCTGGTTACGCGGTACAGGTCGAGAATGAGGAAGATATTTAAAAAGACTTAAAATTAATCTTCATATAAAGAGTATGCAATATAAAGAGTGTGGAATATAAAGAGCTTCAGAAATATGCCTTCTGTAATATGTATTGAAAGTGTTTTGTATAAAAGTTATTTAATAAAAAATAATATTTAATGGTTCTCGTGGGAGATCTTTGAAATGTGGAGTAAGAAAGGACACGAGTAGAAAGAATGTTAATTGGTCAATATTTTATTTATTCCTTCACTTTATTTTAAACAATTTGTTCATTCGAAGGATCTCTTAAATCCCCTTGAAATGAATATGTTATAGTAAATACGTTCCTTTTTACAATTTATACCATATACACAATAATAGTAATAATAATAATAATAATAATAATATTAATATTAATAATAATAATAAAATTATTAATAAAATTATTAATAAAATTAATAATAATGAATAATAAGGATATAATGATAATGACGATGATGGTGACAATTAATAATCAATAATAATTCATTAATAATAATAATCGGATTAATCATAATGCAAGCCTACGGCGCAAAAAAAAATCAAGAAGAAAAAGAAACAAAACGTAGAGTATACGACACAGTGAAACCGTCTTCATTTCATTATCTTTTAACTGACGGTTAGTTACCTATCTTATGTACGCAATTTACAAACCGTTTGTCAGCTGCGCAATTAAATCTTTCCCCTCTTTTTCATCCCCCATTTTGTTGCGATTCTATCTCCCTCTTTCTCTCGTTTTTTTTTTTCACTTGTTAGTAAAACACTTCTCACTCTCTCCCTCTCTCTCAATCCGCTTAAGCTGAGATTACTATAAAATAGATAAAAAAGCCCTGCTCGCAAAATATCTTGCAAATATATAGATATATATATGTATATGTATATATGTATATATTGTCACGGTCTCTTTCTCTTTTTTTTCCCCGTTCACTCTCGTCTCGTTTCTCTCCTTTCTCCCTGTTCCTCATTCTTTAAACCGGATGCGAGTGTGATCCAATTCAAAGACGAATCCGTGGAAAATTATTTCTGTCTCGCTAAGGATTCATCCAGCGATTTTACGAATTCATCCATTTTGTTAATGGGACGGGTCAATCGTGACCTCGATTTAAAGTCTGATATTATTAACAGGATTTCAAATATGGGAAAATAAACGATATAGACTCTCGTTATATTGCCAATTTTATGTGGACGCTGCCACTTTACTGCCATTGGGAATCTTATTGCCACGTGTTATATCGCCACGAGTTGTAAATTGCACCCACGCGTCACCCACGGATTGCAACACCTATTTGCAAACATTGCAATACTCGTGCGTTGTATCCACAGCGCTCATGCGTTGTATATCCACGCTTTGTATAGCCACTGTGCGTTATATAGTCACGTATTATACACTCAAATCGCACAGCATTGTCCAACCAATATATTGCCAATTGTAAGAGTCCTGTCCCAGCCATGGTAATATAACGAAAGTCTATCTGAAACCCATATGTGGACCACCAACGTGGCTCTTTAATTAGAAACATATTAAAAGTATTAGTAAATTGAACAGTAAGGTCACGATTTAACCGGGGGAGACAAATGTCGTTACACGAAAAAACATGCAAAACTTAATGAACCATTTTACTAAAAGATTTTCAACGACATTACACTTATATTAAAAATAAAATACAGCATATTAGCACGTGTCGCTAGCAGAAGACAACCGAATGAAATTTCAACAGGTTTTAAGTAACAATAAAAAGGATTCGTCCTCGATGTACATTGCACACTCTCGCTGTCTCTTCGTGATTCTTTTGTTTATAATTACATTCAGCGATTGAAATGTTGCACCACGTTCATCGACATCTGTATCCGCGAACCACCCTCAGCAGCGTTCCGCGCCAATAAATACAAATAATAACACGTTAATCAACGTTACTAATTAAAATAAATAAAAAGCAAGTAAGTAAGTAAATTATCTTTCGTTAAGCGAGTTTGGTCTCTCCTTGGTGCGGTTGCCATTCTATCTATCATTTTCTTTTTTTTTTTTATTGCTTCCCTCTTTACATTTGTTCGACTCTCTCACACACTCGTACACACACACGCACGGACTTGTACACACACACACAACACACGCGTGCTCTTTCGATCCTGCGAATCTGCTTTGCTCGCTTGATTGCTCGTTTGTCTGGCCGTCTCTTTGAGATGATTTATCGATCGTGCTCGATCGACGGACGATTTCGATCTTCCTGGAAATCGGAAATCGTCGAAAGGGACTCTCACGAGTGAAGGGTAGATGTCTCTCTTCGAAAACGTGACGGACTAGCGTCGTTCACAGACAGACACGTAGAAGATATCCTCGTAGTAAGATCCTATGGAAACTACCCTTCGAATCGTGAACAGAGTCCACCCTCTGATACGTTGATCGTGCCACCACGATAAAAACTAATTCGACTATTTACACGGATTGCGATCGAACTCTCCAGTCGTCGTCGTCGACCTCTCGTAAATATAAAAAACAACTAGAAACGTAGAAATTGCTTAGAAATCGAGGTTCTTCTCATTGCATTATATCAACCTTTAACTGCTACGGTGGAGTTCCACGCTTCAAAAAATAAACTTTAATATTTCCTAAATTCCCAAAATTAGAAACGCTCGTGTTTCAACAATTTTAATTTCAAAAGTCCCGAAATCTTTCAAGCTTCTTCAAACTTTCAAGTTTCTAAATCATAAATTCTAGCAGCACTTCAACAATATAACCTTATTTGCTTATTACAAAGTAGCGATACTTGTCATATAAAAAAGGTATGTTCTCAATTGTTTAATTAATGTTCGCATAGCAGTTCGCATCGCCATAGCAGTTAAAGATTGAAACTCGTAAAGACAATGATTTTCCACAACTGACCAGAGAGCCGTTCGTTTCTGAATTCGGGTGTTCACGCGATTTCGACCGTATACGACAGTATATTAAAATAATGATCGTATAATACTATCAATATAATAATATAATTATGATTGCATGTCTCTATGTTTTACATATGTATATATATATAATATGCTCGTAAGTGAATGTACGCGTGTGTGTACGTATGTATAATATGTATATAAATATGTTACAATTACGGCGCAGCGGGTAAAGAAGACAAAAAATGATAAAATCAAACGGTAATTGTTGCATACAATACATAATGTATATATATATAAGTTATATATAACACACGAATATATATAATTTATATATATCGTATATGTATACGCTCGACAAATTTCTGTTAACCGTCGAAAATCGTTTCTGCTGCTGTATTTAGGTACAATATACAATTGTCGTTTGTGACATGCATTGTTTAACCGTTTCTTCCTTGCATTCGCACATGCACACACACACACGCGCAGTTGCACACACAGAAACAGGCAACACACACGTTCCTCACATTTCCCTTTCCTTATTCTTTCATCTTTCCTTATCATTCATTCCTATAAATACCTCAAAAAATAATAATAATAATCATAGTATATCAATAACTCAATAATAATATTAATAATAATAATATAATATAATATAATATTAATAATGAAAGTAGCAATAATAATGACAATATATAATATATAATATATATATATATATGCATAATATGCGTAAAAGTTTTCCTTAGAATCGCAAAGAAAAATTCACGCGATCTGACCGATCGATAAAAAAAAGAAAAAGAAACAAGAGAAAGAAGAAGAAAAAACGCGCGTTAATCACTGTCCCTCGAACAACCTTGTCTCTTCACGTGGCGATAATCAGAACGGCAGCACCATTCGCTTTCTTTGTCTTTCTTTGGAGGTCTGTAGGAACACGTATATAAAATCTTTGCCCCAAAATAAATGTACAACCGCGAAATAAAAAAAGTACAGGAAAGAAAGGATAACAATATGCAAATAATAACGCGTTTCTCGAAGGAGAACCTGAGCTCACGGTGACGCGTTTGCAGCCCTGACAAACTTGTACACGCAGAATCCATTCTTTTGTTTCAAATTCTCGCAGCGACGAATTTCACGCGAGTCGCAAAGATCTTTTGTCTGTGCGTTCTTTCCTTGCAGTTCGCTTTAATCACAGTCGCGGACTGACGAGATCGAAGGCCTGATATTATGTACGTATCCACTACAAATACGTGTGCTGCTCGAAAATATCAAAACATACATTCTTTTTTTAATAGACCTCTTTTTTTTTAGTCGCTTTATCCTTTAGTCTGCGTGCACACGCACACGTGGTATAAAATTGTATCCCGTGAACCATTGGACCGCGCTTAGTTATTTCTACGGGCCCCGAGTCTCGTCAACCCGCGTCCTTACTTCCGCTAATTCTCTTTCTTCCTCTTGGAAAAACGTTAGCAACGGATCGACGGATACGTTTGTTCGAATGTCTCTACGGATATACGTACAATTGGTCCAATTTCCGCTGTTTACTACGTCGATATAAATTCTAACAAAATGTAAACTCTAATGCTCCGTCGCGATTTCTGATCGAATTTGCAGTTTAATTTCGATATGTTCCGACTAATCGTAGAGACAGAATTTCTTCGTTTCTGGTCCAATGAACATCCGCTGGACTCGTTGCTAACGCCTCTTCTGGATCACCTTTGCTTCTCGCTGACGTCGTCGAATCGATTTCGTTCGCTTTGCGTGTAACAGGCTATCTGTCCACGAAGTATCGCAAATGGAAAGCGCGTCGAATTCGGATCGCGTGAAATTTGAATTCCGATCGAATTAGGATTGCGGAAAGTTTCATGCAAAATTTGATCACGGCGTGATTCTTCGTGAACAGACATCGTACTCGGGCCTCGTTACCTTTGAAGTTCTCGCAACATTCTCTCGGATACATTTGACAGTAATATTATGAGAATCACTGAAGTGCGCGCGCACACGACGGTTTCTCACTTTGTCGATGATGGAAGGAACCAAAAGAAAAGCAAACTTAACAAATAGCAAGGAAGAAAATGATAATCGATTCGAGAGTATCACAATGATGAAGAGTGATCGATCGAACAACGCAGTAACGAAAAGGAAAGTAACGTTTTCAAAAGAATATTACAATTGGACTCGGAATGAACGTTCGGGACAAATTCGGCGGACATGTATAATTATCTTGTTGTGTACGTGTATTTTTAATATTTTTTCTTTTTCATTCTTATTTACCAGAAATTTCCTGATTCTCGATAAGACTTGTGGTAGCAAAAATTGGGGCGGGCCGACTCTGTCGCGTCGTTGGAACGACGACAGGTCACCCTCAAGGCGGCGGCACTCGCAAATACCTATTTACAAAAATATACACATGAGCAACTTACTTATCCGTTATGCTTTTCTTTCTTTCTGTCTTCTTTTTTATTTTTCTTCTTTACACGCCCGATGTAACGAGAGAGCGTTAACGCGGTTTCTGTCTCTCCGTTACGCGTTAATTATTTTTTTTTTTCTTTGTTTATCGTCTGGTGTCTGTTCTCGCTTTCTTTCTCTCTTTCTATCTTTTCTTTTTTTCTCTCCCCCGTATAATCGCACTATTTATAATGTGGTGTATGCGCTATGTATAATTATCTGAATATTCTTTTTTTATTTTCTCATCACTAGAACCTCTACTTATTCCCCGTTTAATTCTAAGTAATTGTAAATAATATGTATTGGTTGTTTGTTTCTGTTACCATTTAACGTTGTTTTTCCTTGTTGCGTATTAATTATCTAATCTAAGTTACCTTTTGTTTGTTTGTTTTTTTCCGTAACCTATCTACAAAAGAGTCGTGTCTTTCGTTCACAGACGTCAGACCATTTTTGTATAGTAGTCGGTTGTAAACCGGTTGGATCAACCGTTGATCATTGTTGCTCGTGGCGCATCTCCAACGAAGAGAAATGCATCATCACACTAAATTATTCCCCCCAGTCTCTCTCTAATTCGCGTTTACCTATACCCTCGCCAGGAATTTCGCGACCGCCTTTCTACTATTTCATCTTCTTTCTCGCTCGCTAAAAATGAAACGCCAGCGTGCGCGACGCGTTGGTTCTCTCTTCATTAAATATATTCATATCTATATATTTATAATTATTTATATATTTATATAGGTAATAAACTATATGCATATATGTATATCCTTGTGTTTTCGTCGCACTCGAATCGCCGAGACGAGACTCATGCTTCAGGTAACGTCGGCTGCGGCGCACCGTAAAGCGAGAACACACGGGCGCTTCTGTGGCACTTCTTAATTCCTTCTTCCTTCCGTCGACTCTTCCCGTTCCTATTCAATTTTCATTTACAAAATCGATTTACTCCAAAAACAAAAATAAGGACTACGTGTTTTCCCCTTCTTCTTTTGTCTCGCGATACGCGCGATAACCTCCTTCCCTCTTCTCACGATTTCTTCCTTTCGAAAATAAGTAACTCCCGCTACGCACAGAATACGAGAGATTCTCTACGCACCGATCACGGATCGACGAGATCCATCTTCGACTGTCCACCTGCAGACGAGTAACTTGAATTGACTATAAAGTTGATGCTAGGAGCGTTACAAAAATTCCCCGGGACGCCTCCTAACCTCCTAACGTAGAAACTTCATAGAGCTTTCTCTTTCTCTGACTGTGTAGCAAGTGATTCGACAGTTCTCTCGCAACTACCGATACCGGTAGCTGCTCCCCCGGACCACTGATTTTCTGCACCCCAGAAGAACAGTCCTTAATTATTAACAAATACACTTCTAACCTCTCTCCCTTCGCGAAACTTTCCGATATACTTTCGCGTATCGTTGCACGACGTGTTTCGCGCGACGTTCCTCCTCGACGTCTTTACGTGAACATCGTTGGATACGTGGCCATGTTTTGAGGGAGAGAAGTGATGTAATTGGGGGTGGGTGGTCGGGGGCTATGCCACTGTGGTCAGAGATCTCGAAGCTTCTTTATACCGGCTTGAACATAGCGTACTAAATCGCGCAGCGAACTTTTCAACGTGAGGGGTCCCAGCTTTTCGTCCAGCTCGATGAAAAAATCTGCAACCGAACAAACACGCGTCTCGTTTAACCCAAAATACTAACGACGGATCTGCTCAAACGAATTACGAAACAACTAACTCACCTCTATGCTTCTCTGTCACCAGAGCGTTAGCCTGATCCCAGAGATCGTGACAGCTCAGCAGCAAACCGAACTGATAGTTTTGTTTCGCCATTGCACTGTGAACACTAAGCGGAACGCTAACGTAAGGAGCTGCCTGCGGTTGACCCGAGGCAGCTCCTCGATTTGCCAGTTCGCCGCTGCTGTATCCGGAACTTTGGCTGCCAACGGAACCCACGGAACCGGCCGGTGACGGTGTGGGCGACAACGAAGGCGTTCCTTGACCTTCCGGTTGCACCGAGGTTGCCTGAGCGGGCTAGAAACGCAAGGAAAAACCGAGTTCGTCTCAACAGCTCTCGATCGATAGCGAAGGAAACTTTCGTTGGTCTAGGATGCACTTACTTTCTGATGATAGTCGCTAAGGATCTTCTGGGTCTCCTTGACTTCGTGTTTGCGTATCTTGAACAACTTCAAGTATATAAGGGATTGGCAAAAGAGACTGAAACAAAACAACGGGATAACAGAGTGTTTTTTGAAGGACACGCGCGACGCCGACGAAAGCTCCAAAGCGGGTACTCACCTTAGAATGGCTAGCTTGTTATGTATACTGCTCTCTGGCGAGTTGTTCTGCTGGCTCTTAAACTTCGACGAGATGTATCTGAATAAAGGGTGGGCAAATCAGAGATCGCGGTAATTAGAAAGTACTATTCGTGAAGTAGTTCGGGTTAATTAGAGATGTACTCACTTGATGAGACTTAGAGTATCCTTGTACATGGTGAACGACGCCCTCTCCGTGACAGGATCCGACTCCATGGCGTTGCCAGTGAGCAGGAAACACAGAACGGCTTCCAGATAAAGCATACCCTGCGCTGTAAGTTCGCACTCCTTGTCGGCGCTGTGCTTCAACCGTTTCGCTTCCATCAGGTGCTGATTATGGTCCCTGTGATCGAACGCGTCATGCAAATCAATGTGCCTCCACAGTTTTCGATACCTCGCGTACAATTTTCTCACAGAAGTTTACTCACCACCTGTCCTGATCCTCCAAAACTTCGTTCTGAGGATTGAAGTAGGAATAATAAACGCGTTGAGGCCGCGGTGGTGGCGGCAGTAAGCTGGTGTCGGGCTTTTCTTCCCGCTCGTGATTCGTTGGTTGTATGTCGCTTTGCTGCTCAACAACGACCAACATTTAGTGTAAGCAACCAGAGGGTATTCAGGATTTTGTTCGAGTCGCGAGATTCATACCTGATTGGAAGAGGACCTGGACGCGACAGCCTCAATGTCCGCGTGTTTCCTCTTTCTCCTCTTCCTTTCTTTGTGCTCACCCGAACCCTTCCCTTTCGTCTCTATGGAACACACAGTACTGAAACTGGACACAGAACTACAACTTGGATTACGTTTCCTCTTGGGTGCGCTACCCGCACCACTAGCACCACTACCACTTCCACTAGCACCTCCACCGACGATACCGGCGCCGAGTCCGATGCCGCAGTTACTCTTCGAGTCCGGTATAGGTTCGCCTTTGATCACAGCCCGATTCTTCAGCTCGCCGTCGACTAGCAACGCATCACCGTGGATCCTTGGATCCGTGGGCAGCTGTTGAGGTGGTGGCGTGTCGATTATCTCGCCCTCTTCGGGCGTAGATGGTCGAGCACTTTGAGCAGTCAGTGCGGAAGCCTGTCTGGACGATGGCCTGGTGTCGGGAAGCTCCGTGCGTTGTCTCAACTCCTGTCCTCTGGATAGCTGCGATAGATGCGGAAGTCTGCTCAGCTCGATCTTGCAGAATAAACTCGGCACCCCGTTCACGTAGGTGAGAGGCGGGAAAGACTGAATCAAGCTGGATGCCTGAGACGACGGTCTCTTGTAAGGACTATCCCCACCGGTCGGCGTGTTCGCGGAGTTGGTGTACTCCTGCACGTAGATGCCACATTTCCCTCCGCCTTTTCCACCCTTTCCTCCTTTACCGCCAACCTTTCCTCCACCCATCGAAGACGAAAACACCTTCCGGAGCGTGTCGCTCTTCTTTTTGTCTTGCACGTTACCCGTGTCCTCCTCTTGCAGCTTTGGACCTGGACTGTTATCGCTGTCCGAGTTCTCCGGAGAAGTTGCCCTGGTCGGCGGTACTCTTGGCCTTGGAGGTACCCTGTGTTAACAAAAAACGTCTTGTCACCCATCTTCTTCGACTTGTAAGCAAACACAATACAAACTGAACTTACCTGGCCACTTGAATGCGATTTCTCACGGACATCTCAGACTCGCTGTCAGAGTCAGACCCACCAACGTTGGTCACCCTCGAATTGGATCTCCTGGGTTTGCCTTTGGCGGGACTCTTCTTCTTCTCCTGCTTCTTAGACGAGTCCGCCGGTTTGCTTCTCTTAATAGAAACGCTTCTCCAACGCGCATTGTCGTCTTCGGAGGCACTGTTGTTCTTTCTGGTAGGAGGACCCTCGTCCTCGCTGGAGGATCCGCTAACTCTCGAGCGTCTCTTCTCGCCGATAGCGGTATCCACCGGGGATATCCTGGCCGGCCGATCACTGTCCGAATCACTGGAAGCTTCCTGCGATCTGTCGTCGCTGCCGTCGTCGCTGGTCGTGATCATAGGCTTCGAAACGGGCATCTTTCTCTTGATGGAACTAGGAACTCCTCTCGTTCTACTGCGAGGCTTGCCGTTCTTCAGACTCTCGTCCGACGTCCGATGACCACCCTTCGGGCTCTTGGTTGGTTTTCTGGGTCGACCGCGTTTCTTCGCATCGGCCACCTTTGGTTTCTCCGTTTGGACCCGATTCTCCTCCACCGGCTGACCCTTCTCCTGATCCGAAGACCGATAGCTGTCGCTGTCGAGCACGCTGATCATCGTCGGATTGTGGGTCCTTTTCACGGCCTCGTCGAGCTGCCAATCGTGCGCTGCCTTATCCGTGTGCGTTCTCACCTCCGCTGTCGCGGCTGGGGAATCTTCTCGCCTGTTGCATTCCTGCGGATCATTAATTTGTTAATAACAGATCAAATTCAACTGTTATTCTGGACATGGCCCAAGCTTAGAAAAGTTCCTTACCTGCGTCTGCTTGTTTTCAACATTCTGTTCCCCGTGTGGCATCACCGTTTTGTTGAAGAACGAGCCGAGATTCCACCTGGGTTTCGATTCCTCGATAGCTGGCGGTGGTTCCTCGATCAGGTCGGGTTTCGGTGACACTGAGGGTGGCGTGGAGGGTCCTTTATTAGGTTGGGTACTGGACTCATCCTCCGAGTCGTCGCTGGTATCCGAGCCAGTTTCGGAGCCGGAATCGGAGCTCGAACTTGCGCTCCCGGAACTCTGACGAGCTTGGCCAGGTGGACTAGGTGGCCTCTGGATCAAAGGGCTGGGAGGACCCTTCGATTGCAGAGGGCTTACCGGCGGAGGTGACAGGACTTGTTCGGGTGTCATCTGTTTTGCCGGTGACGACGGTCTGGTCGGACTGAGTGGCTTCGTGGGCGACAGAGGACCCACTGGTGATAGACCCATGGGTGACATGGGTGCCAGAGGTGGAGGGGCTGGGGTCATCGCCGGTATCAAGGGCGTTGACAGACTGTGAATAAAGTTGACTCTTAAGGGTTTGTCGGAAGGGTTGATTTCGATTTCTGAACTTTTTTACGTTTATTGACACGACCGAGTTAATACAGAGTAGATACTTACTCGACCGTCAGGTCAGGACTTCTGTTTCCCCTCGCTGTCCGCGACAGTGCTTCCTGCGAAAAAGAAGAGGATCGATTAACAATTAATTACAGCTTAACCGAGGATGAGCTTTCTTTCCTGATTGATCCTCGTATTGTTCTTATTTAGAACGCGTGCGCGTTCGTATCGTACTTTAGGAAAAGAGAATATTGTATTAGACTGTATCACAAGATCTCGAGTAGTAGTTTATTGCAAAAGTCGATGGAGAAAGGTATACAGAAAAATAAAATACAGTAAAATCTGCTTTGTACTTGTTCGAAATTGTCGACGGTTTCAAAATGACAGTACTTTTCTTCCTAAAATTTCAGGAAGTTCAGATAAAAGTTATCTGAACATAAAAGTTCAGATCATAGGGTGAATCAAATGAGGATTTCCAAAGTACCTACCTAAAGAAGCACCATAAGTACCATAAGCACCATAAGTGCTTCTTACACTCACAATAACTGATTTTACTTTTGGCCCACGACATTTAACCCTTTAGCTGCGACTCGAGCTATAAGGTGTAATATCTGGCCCTTTGTGGAAAGTTACCCAACCCACAGCCCAAAGGTTCCCATTCTAATTCTCTTCGAATTACGATCAAATGAACCCCATTGCAGAAATACAGATGTTACTATATTCAGAAAGAATGAGAAAAAAGAGCTCGCTGAATTGGTAACTTCGTTACCTTGCCGACTTCATCCTCGCTGTCTTCGGACAGGCTCAGATCCCGCTCCAAATCCCTGCAACAAAAAGAAAAGCAATCGTTGAAAAGTGATTCCACTGTGTATAAAACTATGGAATAAAGCTGATCGAAAGGGGTGGATAAAAAATACCCCGGCGTTCGAGTATAAGGTGTACGAAGCACTCTCGATTAGAATAGAGAAAGGAGAAGAAGAACGTGCACGCGTGGAATGGCAACCTGTTAGAACACGACCGAGGCCAGGCAAGCCAGGAACAATCGTTCATTGATCTATGAAACTGCTGTTTCACACGCGCCTCTCCTCCGCAGGTTCCTTTGTCAACCAACTGCCGCCTGTTTCTCGCATTTCCTATCCCCTCACACTTTCACTTTTCATTCTTGCGTTCGTGAATCGATCGTTCAATTAAACTCCTGCGATTACTTTCTTACTGTCACTTAATGCGTCATACTTTCATCGTTACGTGGGAGAGATTACTACCCGTTAGATTATTACGCGTTACTACCGGCTAGATTATCACGCTAGATTAATACGCGTCACGTCGCCACGCGTTACAGATCACTGCGATAAATAACTATGTGGTTATCACGAGTTAAATTACCGATTACGGATTATGATATACGCGTTGGATCAGTGGTGGAGACTAGCATAGATCATGCGTTAGATTATCAACCGTCAGATTACGGTTAGATCACGACTCGTTAGATATCCCACGCGTTAGATTGGTACGTTATAGATTACCACGCGATAAATTACCATGCGTTAGATACACCAGCGTTATAGATTACCACGTGATGGATCCCCACGCCTTAAGGTACATCTGAATCCCTACGTGTTAAACTTCTCAAATTTCCAAAACCCCAAAACCCTTCGAAGACCAAAAGACTTCCTAATCTCCCGAATTTCTAAAGTAGTAGTCCCTCAAAATTCCAAAATGAGCAGCTTCCATATATTCAAAGTCCAAAGCGACTGTTCAAAGTCCAACCATAATAAGTCCAACCAAAAACCACCATAATATCTGTATCGAGAATTTCGATCCGAGTTCCAAAGTCTGACCATCCGCAAGGTATCGAAATGTGTAAAAGTTCGTTAATTAATATTGTTGAATCGCAGAAAAAGTTCGGCAAAACAGGTAGTTATTTTTTCTTGGCTATTTATGAAGGTAGAGGCAAAGGAAGAAAATAAAGAAGCGAGGGTCCTTTCACCCTCGATCGACGAGAGGCAAGCAACGGAAGAGGATGCTGCTTGAAGAACGGACAAAATACGAGGAGCAGGAGGGAGCTCGCAGCCACAGAGGGGAACGGAAAGCGACGAGAAGTAGCTATGGGGAAACATGGAAAGAGAGACAGACTGCAGGATAAAGAGGGAAAGTACGCGAAGCACCGAACGCGGATGTACCGGAGGGTCGTCGACCCTAAACACGCTGTCCTGCGTCCTGCGATGCTTGTGGATATGGCTGACTGGTTGCGAACCGAGCCTAAGGTCGCCTAGTCGCTTACACGGGGAATTACGATCTGGATAAGCGTTTCTTTCGACGACAGATAGTAGCTTGTTACTCGCACTTAAGTAACGGAACACTCGCCGTCATAGTTTCAGCTTCAAGTTCGAATTAACGTTCGCGCTGTTTGCTTTCCGTTTTTCGTCGATTCAGCTCCCGTCGTTTCATCTCGACCGGGGAAGGCCAGATCGATCGAACAGGATCAAACCGACGTTCTCCCGGACGATTTTATTGATTTATTAAGCGTGATCGGGTTTGAAGTTTTGATTGACTTTGAAAGTTCCGTGCCGATAGATATGCTGCCTCCGACGAGTAAACGAACTACGTCGATTCACCGAAATTACTAACTTTCGGAAATAAATTATTGTACACAATCGTGACCCACGGTGACAATAAATTGTTAGGAACCTCCGATACCGAATAAATTCACGGTTCTATAAGTCAGAGTAAGAGAATTAAGCCGATCAAAGAGTCGAAAATCCTCGAGCGGATTAGACAATAGGTTTACCTCCTATCGGAAGGAACAAACTGACCATGAAGAAACGAACGGTAGCGAGGTTCAACGATCTCGCGTTCGCAGCTGGTACACGCAACTTTTCTCAAGAACATTTCACACGTCGTAATATCGTGATACTCTAAGGGTGAACAAGGTTAAACCGTGCGAGTTTTAAATTGCTCCAGGTAGCACAAGAGTTTGTGCTCGGAACGAGTGTGTGGTTTTTAGGATGCGGTCTGCAGAAGGCACGGAGGCGAAAGGAGGCAATAAAGAGCTGTTAAAAAACGGACAGAGAGAAAGCAACGATTACGTGAAGAGTTTCTTTCCAGTTATTTTTGCTGATTCTCAGCGGTTTTGAGAAGACTGTGTCATCTTCAATCTTTCTGTACGAGGGCCGAAGGTTAATTCTCGACGAGCTTTCTCTTCCGACTTCGTTACAGATTTTTAAATCTATAAACACTTTCCTGTATAAATAATTGTCCAATTGAAATTGTCCGGACAAGCAGTACGATATCAAACGATATCATACCGATAACAATGAAAACAAAGAAAAGTTGCGAACGAGGAAATGTTTAGAAATGTTTGCGGCAAGAAAGCTTTGTTTGGCGAATAACGGTATAAGATTGTAATGTACGGTCGGACGTTATTTGTCTTCGGACAGTTGCGCGTCGCTGTTCTCAAAAGTTTCAGCGTAAGGTAGATAGAAACGAGGTAAAGCTCGAGCAAACACGCGAAAAGAGTGGTGGTCGCGTTTCATAGCGGCGGTACAGAGGCAGAGGAGAACAAGAAAGAGCACACATCCGGCTCCGCTGGGAACGAACACGAAACGTTTCCGGAGGGAAAAAAAGAAGGCAACAACCAGTCCGCGACGTTATTACGATGCGACCTAGCTGCCTCTGTCCTTTCATCGAATTAAACACTTTGACGATGCCCCCGTGTAATTGGCTACGAAAAAGCGGCTAGGAATTTTACGCGAACCCTATGTCCGCGTTTCAACCTTCTATTGAAACGGGGACCTCTGCAAATCCAGTTAACCGTTCACGTTTCTCGACTGCTGATCTTATGCTCTTTTATCGCGTCACTGACGCAATGCTCATCGCTATGTTAACGGGCAACTTCATAATTCATCATTAAGAATACGTGGAATTTAATTTTAAAACTTATATATTCGTTATGGGGTTAAAATCAGTAAAATGATCGTGCGAGTCCATTTAGAATTTACCAAAAATTACCTCTGAAGAGATCAAAGTTTTACTGTAAATCAACGTCTGATAACTTGATGGAAAGGGCTGATCGTAAACGATTGTTGATAATAGTTTAAAAATGTCACTACATAATTACTACATTAAGAATACGTGGACTTTTAATTTTAAAACTTATATATTCGTTATGGGGTTAAAATCAGTAAAATGATCGTGCTAGTACATCTCGAGTTTTTAACAAAAATTGTGTGTGAAAAAATCAAAGTCTTGCTGTTAATCAATTTGATTGTAAATCAACGTCTGATGATTTGATGGAAAGGTCTGATCGTAAACGATTGTTGATAATAGTTTAAAAATGTCACTACATAATTACTACATTAAGAATACATGGACTTTTAATTTCAAAACTTATATATTCGTTATGGGGTTAAAATCAGTAAAATGATCGTGCTAGTCCATTTAGAGTTTTTAACAAAAATTATGTCTGAAAAAATCAAAGTCTTGCTGTTAATCAATTTGACTGTAAATCTACGTCTGATGATTTGGTAAAAAAGTCTGATCGTAAACGATGTTAATAGTTTAAGAATATCATAAAGTTACACAAACTGATTAATTTCTTCATCAATAATAAAGAATCCTTGCAAGATCTCCCAGCAAACGAACGTATGATAAAAATTCAATGAATAGTAAGAATTGGAAAAGGCACCATTTGCGAGTAGCATCCGAGACGTTTATAAAAGAGAATTGCAGTAGCGATTTTCTGTTGCAAGCTGGCACGAAACACGGGGAAAGTAGCGGATAAAACGAGACAGGAATTTCGGGGTGTCTTTTCGAGCGGGAAGAATAGCGTGGCAAAGAGGATAACGAGATTCCTCCAACCATCGATGACGACTCAACCGTTTTAAACGGAGCTGGAAAACCAGCTAAGAGCGAGCAAACGGAGTTACGGGTAGCTGGTGTTCCTCGATCAACGATCGTGCTGATCCAACTTAATCCGCGACTTAGTTAACACCAATGGAAAAGCTGCTGGCACATTCTCGCAGGCACCTGACTCGTGCTTCTTCATCTTACGTGTACGATCTCTTCAACTGTTTGAGAACCGATCGAGTATGCAGATATATAAGCTGGGATTTTTCAGAAAATTGTTTACAAACACGCTTGAAGGTCAGTGTTACATTATTCATGGATTTTGTGATAAACAAGTGTTCTTCTGTACAAATAACGTGATTTAGCCTTCCAGTAGGAAAGGTCGACAACCTAACACACGAATAACTGGATACACGAGTCTATATTTTCTATAGGCGAACAATTTTTTTCTTGTAGAACGATAAATCTTCTGTCGTAATTTTCCCGTCTACCAAAGTAAATAACAGCGTTAGATTTCGAAGTTTATTACTCCTCGGTGGAGGAGCATCAGGTTTATTAATTGTCCTGTAAGCGCCTCGCTTATCGGGACTGCTAAGATTTCTCCGAACCACGCGACAGAAATACTTTAATCGAGCCGAGATCCTAGCCCGAAAGGTCACGCGGTTAACTCGATAATTTCGATTAATTTTGCGAGAAGAAGCTTATCCCCGAGGTAATGATCCTTTCCCGACTTTCGTTTCCCCTGCGGGGGAAAATTCAATTCGTGGCGTTACACGCTACGGAATTTCGATGAATCCTATTAGTCTCCGCGCTAATTTCTAATCAACCGATCAATTTTATATCGATTACTTTACGGATGCCACCGAAACGCTTACAAATTTATCAATTTTTACCTTCCATTAAGTTCCGTTTACCCAATCGAGTTTTCACAGCTTGAAAATATTTTACTGGAACGATAACTGCAATTTTGATAACTTGTACCGTAACAAAAGTTCGAGACTCGTGCGTTATCAAACAACCGGCGGCCTTGTCCGGTTCCTGATAACGTCGAACCCGAGGCTCGCACGATAAAAAATTTTGCTGTTCGATAAAACGTAAGAATTTTTCGTTCCTGTGTCTTTTGATCGGCCTCTTAATTGTCTAACGCAAGCGATTATCAAATTGGCGCCGATTGATTTATTAAATATTTCGCATGTTTACCACGGTGATAATAATTCATGTTCGAAATTGTTAGATCTTTGGAACGATCCTTGATGTATGAGATTGTTGTATCTGTTGCTGTAAATGTAACTAGATGGAAACTACGGTGGGAGGTAGGATATGTGACGTAGCATGTGGGACGTAGCATATGTGACGTAGGATGTGGGACATAGGATATGTGACGTAGAATGTGTGACGCAAGATGTAGAACATAGAGTATGTGACATAGGATGTGAGACACGATGTAGGACGTAGGATATGTGACATAAGATGTGGGACATAGGATATGTGACATGGGATGTGAGATACGATGTGGGACATAGGATATGTGACGTAGAATATGTGACGCAAGATGTAGAACATAGAGTATGTGACATAGGATGTGTGACATGATGTAGGACGTAGGATATGTATTGTAGGATATGTGACATAAGATGTGGGACATAGGATGTGAGACACGATGTGGGACATAGGATATGTGACATAAGATGTGGGACATAGGATATGTAACATAGGATATGTGACGTAGCATATGTTACGTAGATGTGAGACACAATGTGGGACATAGGATATGTGACGTAGAATATGTAACATAAGATGTAGAACATAGAGTATGTGACATAGGATGTGACACACGATGTAGGACGTAGGATATGTGTTGTAGGTTATATGACATAAGATGTGAGACATAGGATATGTGACATAAGATGTGAAACATACGATGTGGTACATAGAATATGTGACGTAGCATATGTTACGTAGAATATAGAGCTGTGTCGTTATCTACAGAAGTTAAAATCCTGGTTGCACCACTTAGTGCACCAAAAAATGAACAATCCAAGTACACCGCAAGATTCGTTAATTGCTCCGAATTGGAGGTAACGACGTCCCTCGGGATGGAAAAATCGCGCGAACGAGCCAGTACATAAAATCTTGTTTACGCAAGAGGGAGTTTCGATCGCGATGAAAAAGTCACGTCGGCGGTACCGATACGACCCAGTTTTCCATCGGGAACCCCTAGCCAGGGGTTATTAGGGGCAGTTACCGTGGTCGACACCGAAAAACCCTCGACGAGCCGCGGTACAGAAAAGAGACAAGGAGGGGTTGAAAGTGGAAACGTGTCCTGCCTACGTTTCACGGTAGCTCGTTAATTTTCTTTCTCGATAGGGTGAAACCAGCCGATTTCAGGAAATTGTACGAACCGATCTATAAAGATAACGTCTCTTGCTCGCTACTAATCTCTCTCACGAATATTGCGTCCGTTCGCTCGATTTATCGCCGCTTCAACGTCCACCTCGATTTTATTTAAGATTCCACGGAGGGAAGCGACGGTTATCCTTTTTCCGCGGAAGACGATATTGTTACGGATTCTCGGACCGTTTCGTGATCGGGATGTGTTATTTCTACGGTCGGAATTCAAGAAACCACGAGGGAGCTTCCGTTCAAAAATCATAGGAAGTCTTTCAAAAGATCGACAAATGTTTTACGCTTATCTAGCTAATCGATGCGTTCACTCATGTCATAAACGTAGATAATTTTGCAAAACAAGAATTTTTAGAAATTCATCGTAAACATACACCGCATTTTTATCAGAGTATTAAGACGGATTAGAAAGTGTACTTGGGAAATGAAAAGTTATCTCCCAGATTTCGAACCACGACCTTGTTCAACTCTCCGAAAATCGGAGAAAGCAATATCGATTAAATTCCAGCGATCGATCCACGATTACTTCGCTGAAAGCGTTATGATGCAAGAACCGACATGACCCGCGACATCGATGTTTACGGCGATTACGCGTAAATAATCGAGCGTGCATGTTATTTACTATACTTCGTTCAATGAATCTTTCCATTTAACGCGACGATATGACGCAAATTGCAGTTCATAGCTCCATTAACACCGAAAGATAACTTACGAAGATATGCAAAATAACAATTTCAAAAGCAGCTCTTATTTATTGACCAAAGAAATATAATTGAGCAATAACGTGTTCTTCTAAACTGTTTCGAACACGAAGGCTACCGGAAGTTGCCAACTTCCCGTCGACACGTGGGAAACTTTCGAACATCTTCGTCAAGGGTGAAGTTCGCAAAAAAGTTTCAATTTCTCTTTTTCCACGTCGACGCAAATAGCCTGCGTTGATCATTTCGCAAAAAAACACCGGAAGTAAATATGCAACACTATTCCAGGTTACAGGGAAGAAAATCGAAGTTGAGAAACGAGTTTCTATCGCAGGAAGAATTTAATTGCGCGACTGGATGATAGGCGGCCAGCACGCGCGTGCACGCATAATTAATTCTCGTCTTTGACGAATTAATTCTCGTTAAACCGGATCTCGGGTTTAATAGCATGCGCCATCTACGATGCTCGACAACTCGGTTGTTAAGTCGCGCCAGTTCGAAGTCGACCTCGTTAATGCACTACGCAAACTTCATTCTGCACTTCTACATTTATTCACTGGGTATATTCTACCGATCGTATTGCCTTTACGACAATAATCATGGACACCCTTACAGTAATATTAACTTTGCACTCGAAGATAATTTTACTGTTTGCAAACAGCAACTTTAAAATATTAATTAGAATGTTAAACGACTTCTTTTGAAATTATTATTTCTCTACTAATAATTTTTACTATTGTCTTTTTCACTATGTTTATACATCAGATAAGCACTATTATAGAATTAATTAAATAATGCTTCTTTTAAAGTATTCGAGGCGCCTCTCGAGCGCAAAGGGTTAACCCCTCGCACTATAATGTTTTTGTCAAGTCAGAACTAACTAATTTCAGCCGTAACATGAAAACAGACACAGAAACTTGAAATGTTATGTGAATTTGGTATCACGCAGTCATTGACTATGCAAATTATAGTTAGACTTGAACTTCAAATTGAAATATATTCGAAATTCGAGTAAAATTGGTCATAGCCGAAGTACGAGTGCGTCACGAGTCTGACTCGTCAAAATATTGCACGGGGTTAAAGTTACTTCGAGGCAACATTTTGTAGATAAAATTTATCGATAATTTTTAGTCGAACTAGGCCACGGTCGATGAATAATTTTTCGACCCTGAAAGATAAGAATTTGAAAATAGTCGAATGTAAATGAAAATTCAATGATATAACGATCGAAATGCATTTGGTGAAATACTTACGCGGATAACCTGTTGTCGTTGTGCCGCTCGCGTTCTGAAACAGAAAAAAGGTACGGTTAATTAGCGTCTGCTAAGTTAATTAGCATCGGATTATCGACAGTCAAGGACGGGAATCGAGCCAACGTGGCAAACGTTACTCGGCCACAAAGATTCTATCGCACGACTGACATAATGACGTCGTTATCGGTGAAATTCGTTCGCGCGGTGTGTCTGGTAAGCGTCGAGAAAGCGATAAAAGTACCGCTCGCGATAATAGACACCGGGAAAACGTTAAAAACCGACGATCACCTACGTGATAAGTATATTCGAGTCGCTTAAAACGATCGTCTATCAACGCGGAGACCTTGGCTCGCGATAAGCGCAATTTTGTTTCGTACCAACTTCTATCGGCGCAATAAATAACTCTGTAACATTGCGTAGCTCGAACATCGCTAAACTTGTTACAACTTTTTGCAAAATTTCATTTTATGATTTGAGAATTCAGGCGTTCAGATATTTGGAATAATTTATAAACCAATATGTACTCGATAGCAGCTCAATTCAGGTAGTCGATGTAAAATTAAAATTCAGTTTGGAAATTTGCAAACACTCGAGAAAATCTCCGTAAAACGTAAAAAGCATCAGATCATTAATTTCTGGTGAAACGATCGTTCAGGAAGCAGAATATTATTTCACCGGAAGGAAAAGCAGCGTTCGCGAGCGAATTGGAAGGGACAGGCCGGTTGTTAAGGCGCAACCCTCTCTTTTTCGAGGTCGAGCTCCCCTTTTCCCTCTTTCACCATCTTTGTGGCTCTTTTGACCCAGTCCCAACAGCAGCCTGTCTTTCTCCGTCGCAGCCCCTTTCCCATGCCGAGTGTACGTATACTCGTACGTGTTCGCATGCGTGCAGTTGCTTTCTATTGTTTACGCAATGCCTTCTCGACCAGGTTCGTTCCTTCCCTTCTTCTCTCTTCAAAACGTCCTTTCATCCTTTCCTTCTTCGCTCCTGGGTCATTGCGTCTCTATAGGGGGAGAGAGAGAGCGCTCCTGTTGGAAAGGTTACGAATCGATCCTTGTTCAGGGATCTCGAAGGATTTCAACGTTCCCTCGGGTTGTCGCTTTCACGTAGCGACAATGATTCTGCCGGCTCGACGAGCTGTCACGAACGCAACAGTATATGAAAATCACTTTTTTATTTTCTTTATGTCGGGTCACGGTAGTTGTCGAAGAGGGAGCAAGACTTTAACGATTACCCAGCGAAAATGTCACGCGATTAGATATGCATACGTGGCATCGCGTAATTGATTTACGACCAATCTTGCTAGTCAGTTTGCGAATATGTTGAAATCGCGTTTGCGTACGTGATATTTAGTTATTTTAATTTACGCGACCCAAACCTTTTAGCGCGATTCGGCTTACTTTACGCGGCTCTGCGTTAACATCGAATATTAAACACTTTCGGCCTTCTGGATCATTGCGGGTCACTTACGTGGATGCTGCACGCAAATAATGTTAAGTGCACGAAGGGTACGCGTTTAAAATCAACTGTATTATTAAAATAAGTCGCACTTTAGAACCCGGATCGTTAGACGATAATATCAATGTATCAACGCGTGATATATGCACATGGAAAAGCTGTTCATGTGGCTCCCGCATGATTAATATACAGCAACATGTATCAACGTATAATGTATGTACATACACGGAGAAATTACTCGGAATATTGTCCTGAGATGATTGTCGGGTATATGTACGCTAATATCGATATATCATGTACATAGCGGGAGGTTTGAAAGCAGTTTCCATGTATTTCAAGGTCATAGAAATTGTCGAAGACGCCTTGATCAAGTTGCAATGTTATCCACTTTGCAGGTATCGGTTCTAAAATCACGTGGAATGGTCTGAAAGATGTAATCATCGAAAGTCGTGGTTTTCACCTGATTCACGTTGGTTAGCCACACAGTACAGGTATCGTTAATGAATTCCATATGTAGCACGATTAATATACGATTACGGAGTCGGACGTGTCCCGATGTCCAATTAGAGGGATGATTTATCACGCTATCGTTCGTCGAGACACGCAGCCTAGGATACTACCACCGGGATATCGTCATAATTCTCGTTTCAACAAAAGCTACGCGAAATTCTCTGGCAATGTTCCACCGTCTAATTATCACTGTTCACCACGCTCGAACCAGTTTCGAACTATTCGAACGGATCACGACGATCAATCAATGACACGCGCAATCACGCTCGATACTCGCCGAACAATTAACGTCGCGGGGTATCGCGAGGCGGTTGCATAATCGAACATCGAGCGAATCGCGCCAAAAACTTGCCCTTTCTGACAGGAACACGATCGATTTAACCGTGTTTATCAACGTTTAAACCGTTCGGAAAAGGTCAAGGCCTTTGCAACTTTGATGCTCGCACATTTTTTAAGACATCGTTGCAATTTCACATAAACACTTTAGCCTCAAAATTCTCAGATTCCTAAGCTATCTTCAGAGCTGTGAATTCCTAAAATTTCTAGCTTCTAGATTTTCAATTTTTAAATTTGCAAATGTCGTAGATTTTAAGTATTCAAGTTTAACACTAAAACTACCAAACCGGTCAAATGACCGCTCCACAAGTTTCTTATTATAAGGTACACATTTTGATAAAATACATTCGTTAAAATCAACATTGATTTTCATCGAGATAAAGAATAAACGTGTGCACTAATTTATGTTTCGTTTGTTGCTTTATTTTTTAACTTCATTCTTAATTTCAAATTAAGTACACATATGTTGGTAGGTTTAGTGTAAAATTTCCAAATTGTACAATCGCAAAATCCTGTACTTCCAAATTGGTGGAAATAGCTGTTCGAACACTTCAACACAAATACACTGCAAATTATCGTAGTTCCGCATCTTCGTACAAGTACGAAAAGCAATATCACGCGTCAGTGGTAGAAATAACACGGTTCGAATCGAGCAGATTATCCGGGCAGAGAATCAACGAGACGCTCGTTACTTTACAAGACACCGTATCGTTGGCGAAACAATTGGATAGGCGGGATCGACGGTGCACACCTGATAACAGAAGGTAGTTGACAGCACCCTGAAGCAGCTCGAACCTGCTGAGCATGACTTATCGTCCGCGTTGCAGCCGATAGCGGTTCCTCATGTTACTCGCGGAGCGACACCGAGCGTGCACGTGCTTCCAGGCTTGCTTCTGCACGATCAATCTACCCTTTCCTCGCTTTTCTCCGAGCTAGCTTTGGATCTAACACGCCGTTAACGTCACGTGAAATCGAACCGACCGTGCGTGTATGCAAATCACCAACAGTACTTGCTCACTACGTTTTCAAGCTTGTCTCTAGCGCCTGCAATTTCACGACGCTTCTCTGCGTAACGATGTACAGATTTTCACTGTGTTCGTCCCGAAAAAATTACAAAATTTTTGTCTCGTCTGCAGTACAATTTGTATCGAAAATTAATTTTGTCGAGAAGTCCAAAAGAATCTTGTTCAGAGGGAGTCTATTTGTAAAGCGAAATTCACACGGAAATTGAAATTCATACAAAATATCCGGCAGGCGCGAAACTTATTCGGACTCGAATTTCGTGCGAAGGAAAACTCGTTCGAACTCGAATCACCGTGTACAAAAGTACAAGTCGGTAAAAGTGAAATAACGTCGGAAACGCTTGCGTACGTGAGAATTTGTAGGGCTTTAAGGGACGAAAAATATGGTGGCAACGGAAACGCGGTACGCTCGCGGTGACGATCATCGGTTGACTGAGCCTGTCGGGGCCCAGCAGGGCCCGGCCCATTGCTGGCACTCCAACAGTTTTGCTGCTGCTTGCTGCTTCCCTTTGCTTGCTTGCTGTTTAACGTCGCTACTCTTCTGCCTGCTGGTAGAACACGCGCCGACCGGGGCCTTCGTCGGCGCAGCTTGCTAAGCAGACGGTCGCTTCACCTGCGTACCGATGGCTTTGTTGAAAACGCGCCCCACTCTCTGCCGAACCCTCTAAGGCACCGATGCCTCTCGATACTCCCTTTCTTTCTCTTTCTCGAGATCCAATCAGTGTTCGCTCTTTTAATTGATCCGAATTTCCTCGTTATGCACGAAATACGTTCATTCGTATTTTCACGGTATCGATTTAACGAGAATCACGGCATTCGACGCTCCTTCGTGAGATGAAGATAAGAAATATTTTAATCGATCGAGTTTACGCGCGTATAACTTATTTTTGAACATGTGATTCACTCGGAAGATACGTCCTGATTGAAATTCGGATCAAGTGGCTGATTTTGAACAGTACTTTATTAACACGTGGTCTCTTTCAGAACATCGATGAATTTTAACGATGGTTGAACACGTGGAGCTTTATCTCGTAATAAAAAAATCTACCATTCTGTATTTCATTCAATTTCCAACTCCGTTTCGGAACCTGAATGGAATTCATTGAGAAATATAAAAATTCTCATTGTTCACTGTAATTGTACAACCTGATAACTTTGCTAAATTGAGACATCATGAAATACCGCTTTTGTCGGTGTCAGACTTCCTACGTTCCTACACGCCGATTGTTCTCAAAGAGTAAGAAGCAGCAACGAGATTCCGATTATTGGTAATTCAGCCGAAATAACGAGGTAAATTCGCAGCGCGTGACTCGGGAAAAATGCTTATCTACGCATCGGATTAGCTCGATTTTTCTGAGCAAAGATTGTTGCATTCGTGTAAAAATTCAATTGGAATACTCGAACATGTCCCACGGCGGTAAGGGTTAAACCGTTATAATTAACTCTGGTAATTAACTGCGGTATCTCTCGAATTCCCAACCGTAGAGCGTAGTTTCATCGTTCCGGACAACTTCGACGTTCTATCATCTCGCCATAATAAAGCCAACCATCGATCAGTACATAGCTGACGGTCTGTGTTTATGTAAATGTGTGCGTGTTTGTCCGTAAGGATCGAGCGTGTGTTATTAAGGCGTGCAGTTAGCCGGCACGCGTCTGGGCGTATGGCAGACTCGGTGCACCTGTTTCGGCAAAAGGATCTGGTTGGACCAC